AATATATGTAGATCAGGGAAGAGTTCAATGGAATTGAGAATTGCAGAGAGACAGCTCAGTATTAAAAACATGAGAAGTAATAGTTGGTTCATTGAAATAAAAAAGCTATGCCTGAAATATGACATTGATGATCCTTATAGTTTTCTTGGCATTCCGTTATCCAAAATCTTATGGAAAAAATTAATATAAAAAAAAGGTCAATGATTATTGGGAAAAACGTATTAGCGATGAATCTAGAATGTATCCTACATTATCATATTTGGAAATGAGTTATACGGTAGGACAATTTCATCCTATATAGCAAGAACTGTAGATGCAAACATCAGAGATATTTCGAGGAGACCAGTACGGCTAAAAATTGCTACTGGTACATACATTCTCCAAACAATAGAGCCGCCTTTAATCAAAACAAAATAGATGTAGTATGTATGCTCTGCAATTGTAGCGAAGAGACGCTTGCTCATTTTCTGCTAGGCTGTACCTAGCTAGAATATATACGTAAAGATATTCTTGAAAAGATCACCAACACTTATAGCTTGCTATTTGCTAATTATAGACTCTCTGTAGAAATAGATCTTCTAAGGGAATGGTCATTATTTATCAGCTGAGGGGGTCGGTTCAAATTTTTCACATTAAAAGGTTTTGTTGGAAACCCCCCGCCATGATTCTTATGAACCACATAATGACCCCCCCCCCCCCCCTGAGAACATAGTTTCAAAAGTTTGACCCCTCCCCACCACCAAACAAAAATCTCTATCGATTAACAGTTGGGAGAAGATTATGACTGCAAGCTACAATGTAAAAAGTTGCAGACATTGACTTGAAAAATAGCTATGAGGAATATGTGGACATTGACACTATCCGTAACAGAATACGGCATAAAGGGGTTTTCCTTGATTGCAGTACTCATTTCCTTTGATTTTGAACTGATATTTTATAATACATTCTACACTATAGTTCTGTAATTTATATAACATGTATAAGTAGCTTGAACTAATTAATTTGATAAAGATAATTTACTTTGTCTGGTTAGCAGTCATTAGTAAGTGATATTCTGTAAATATTATATTGCCTTGATGTTTCATCATGACCTTCCATATATTTTGAAGCTGATGCAACTGATTTTAGAAAACATTTTTTTCAGTTGTATTCTTCTTTGAGAAAACCTTGAGTATACAATAGAGTTTTTCTTCTTGTTTTTTTCTTTCTTTCGAATATGAATAGCTGACACATGCAAGAAGAAAAATGGACAAAATAAGCATTTAAATGAAAACAAATATATATTGCATTTTTACTTGAACCTTTATGAACAGAATGAAGTCATACCTTAATACAGATTGTCCCTGATTTTGAAACTGCCAATTCTTAAAAAGTTAAGCTTTTAAAGGCACAACTAGCCAAATTTGTTTATATATACATGAGCATGTGCTATTATAAATGAATGGAATGACGTGTAAAAAAAAAACCGAAAATTCTTTGTTCCAATTTATTTGAATGCAACCTATAATTCTACAATATCATCAGTATATATAACCTTTCAATAATGGTTTTTCCTCTATTATGAATAAATGTAAATTTACTGTCTGACACAGAATTATTTGTGAATGAAAAAACATTAAAAAAAAAGAGAAAACATGGCTCAATTCTTTTTATGTCTTTATTAAAATTTTGAAGTTTTGTAAATGTTTTTTTGGATTTTAATTTTCTCCTCATATAGTTATTTTTTTATTTCAATCCCACTCTTGGAAGTGCAACTGAAAATAACACATTACAAATATTACTCATTGTATGATTCTTGTCCTTCCTGGATCAAATATGTACATGATTTATTTGAGATAAAGAAATATATATGTAGGTTAATAACTATATGAACATTCAATATTTTATTTCAATGTGAAAATGTTTTACGAAATCCGATGTGTATTAATTTGTGTGTGTGAATGCCATGCTGCCCAACAAGGGCCCTCGATTTGAACATTAAAAATTCTTTTTATTATTCGATATCTTTTTGTTATAATTTCATAAAATAATTATACATATTTACAAATGATTTTAGAACGTACACACCTTTTACAGTCCTATATCTGTCCTAAGAAATCGCATCAAAATGATTTGAACACTTCAGAAAGTTGTAATATTATGGGAAAATATTGTCAAGATTGGTGTCTTACTCTCAACCCAAATAAAACAAAAATTGTGATTTTCAACCAGGCAGGCAGACATATCCGCCTCAAATTTAAATACAAAGAATATGATATAGAATGTGTACAACATTGTAAATATCTAGGTGTGTATTTTAGTGCTTCAGGTACATTCTCCTATGCTCAGAATGAATTATACAAGAAAGCTTTAAAAGCATATTTTAAACTTAGAAAAGATTTATTATCTCTAAATCCTAGCTTAAAAACTAGTACACATGTTTTTGATCATACTATTAAGCCTATTCTTCTTTATGGAAGTGAAATTTGGAGCTCATTTAATCCCTTTATAGCAAAATTTAGGTCTGGAAACCAGTTAACATTAGATAAAATTTATTCGAATTTAACTTGTGAAAAGCTACACAGTAAATTTTGTAAATTTATTCTGGGTGTGCACAAAAAAAACACAAATTTTGCAGCCTTAGCTGAACTTGGTCGGTTTCCCGTGACTTTACTTTGACTTAGTCAAATCTATTTTGAATTATTGGCTTAGACTAGAAAATTTAGACTCATTTCCTTTATTACAAGATGCATACCAGCATTCAAAAACTTTATTTTCTCAGCATAAATCGTCATGGTATGGCTCTCTCCAACAAATTTTAAAAACTCTTCCTGGGTTTGCAAACCTAAATGATGGGAAAAATATTTCAAAAAATACCATCAAGAAAATATTGAAAGAGACATGCATAAAAATTTGGAAGGATCAACTGATCAAGAATTCAGAAGGGAAGCTCCGCACTTATGTAAAATTTAAGAATAATTATGGTTTCGAAAAATATCTAAATATCATGTCCAATTTTGAACTTAGGAGATCATTAACAAAATTTAGGGTGTCATCTCACCATTTGCAGATTGAAATAGGACGATACCAGGGTACTCCTCCACACCTTAGACTATGTCAGCAGTGTAACTCTGGTAATATTGAAGATGAAGTTCATTTTCTCTTTTATTGCACAAAATATAACGAAGACAGACACCATTTATATCACATTATTTCGGAATCATGTCACAATTTCATTAACTTAAATTCCCAAGAGAAATTGCTATGGCTGATGTCATGTGAGAACTTAACTGTATTAAAAGAGTTGTGTATATTCCTGGTTAAACACTGCAAATAGCAGATTTATATGACATGTTTCGCATAATTAATAATTGTTGTTATTTTAAAAAAAAAAAAAAAAAAATAATAATAATAATTATTTGTTAATTGACCGGATTCAGTTTCTCTATTTATTTTGTTCATCTGCTTCTGACACGGGGAGGATTGCTGTTATTGCCTATCGCAATCAACAGTATATCCTAGAGCACCGTCCCTTGGTGTCTCCTGCAGATGAACAAATTTCCATCTTTATAGATAATAAGTTAAGGTTGATCAAACTTTGTTATTAATACTTTTTTTTTTATTTTTACACTGCTGGACATAAGGAAGGAAGGAAAAAAAAAATACTCAAGAGTACTTTTAATGTATTTTTGTTATTAATACTATTTTCATTGTCTATTATAATATCTGTCACGTTATATACTGTACAATGTCTCATGTTTGTTGCTTATACTATCATAATTGTTAATTGTAAATGCCCCCTGTGGGACCATGATTGGAATAATAAATATTTGATTTGATTTGATTTGATTTGTAATACACATGTTCAGAAACTTGTAAAACTCATTGTTTCCTGTGGTCAAAACTAGAGACACATGTTTTATACAGTTGTTAATCTTGAGATAAGTCAGGTGGTAAACTTTCACATCCGACTTGTCCTATGGATAATCATGGAACTATTATATTGAATATAATAGTTCCACGGGATAATGAACCATAACAAATGACTGTGATAAGGAGTGATCAGATTCTCTATCCTTGAGAAATTAGGCATCTTTCTAGTGCTCACTGTACATGATCAAAGATTTAATAATGACAGAAATTATTTAAAAGATTGCACCTGACTCACTTCAAAATCGTCAACAATTAATTTGCTTGTCAGATATAAAAACTTTCATTGTGTGACCCCCCCCCCCCCCAGTAAAATACAATTTTTGATGGCAACCCCCCCCCCCCCCCCCAGCTGTATAATAATTTTTGATAGTGACCCCCCCCCCCCCTAAAATGAACCGACCCCCTCAGTGATAAATAAATAATGACTGTTCCCTAACTGTTGTAGTGAATCCTTATGCTTACTGTATCACCTAAGCACATAAAGAGCTTACTAATGACATTACTATTCATTTAGAACCTCTGTGTAGATATCTTATCTATAGATTGCACCATAAGCGGTACGAATTATTGAACATTATGCGTAAAAAGAAGAATAGAAAATGTGGTTTTAAACATAAGTAAATGCTACAGTGTAGTCAGATCACCTCTTGGCAATATACAAATATCTTAAATGCGACTTAACAATATTACTTTTAGATTTTAAAATAGGACATAATCATTTTATGTGTGGATAAAGAACTTTTATCAGTGTATATAATTCTTATGGATCTGGTGTAAATACTTGGTAGAGGATATTCAGTGACGTGTATACTAAACATTTTAAAATACCGTACTCCGGGTTCCAGGAGGTGTGCCTTGATTGGCAGAAGTTATTTACAGAAACAGATCCCAGTCTTAGTACTTTATTGACGATGACCCTTTTAACCCAAAATCAATGTGCATTTTTTATAATCGTTGTTACAGTGAACATCAAAAAAGAAATTTCAAGAAAAAAATATATTCCCAAACGGTAGAATGTTAAATTACGTCTTTAATTTCGAACCACAATCATGAATTATAATAATTGTTAAGTTCTATTTTGTTTGCGGATGAATCTTTAAATGAAGATCTGTTGTTTGGCTTTCATTTAGAATGGTTTAAAAAGTCAACGGCGAAAATGCCTAAAGAACACATTCAGAGTCTCAAATCTCTTCTGACATAGTCTCCTAAGAATTTCACTAATCAGCATTTATCGTTTCAGTTTATTTGGTTACCCATTCCATTCTTTTTTATAGTTAATTTATTTGGAAAATGAGTCGACAGCAGCCTCGCAAAGACACAAAAATGCGAATAAGAGCATTTCCAGTAAGTACTAGCCCATATAGAAAATGCCATTCGTATATCATTAAAACAATTTTAGGTATTTTGTTCATTGCAAATCCCTGTAGACCTTTATTTTCGAAGAAAAATAATTTGGATCTTGAAGTAAAATGGCGGACGGAAGTGGCATAATGAATGTAAATAAAGACGTCTGCTGCTGTATGGGAATCATTATCAGCACTCCTTGTATGGTTTGAATGTTTTATCGATAATAAGAATATTACCAATTCATTTACATTAAACTGTCATCAACTCTAGTGTTGCTTATATTAGGTGCAAAAAGTATACTGCTCATTAGGCTTTACTGGATGTGCCAAACTGTGTGACATTTCAGTCCGACCAGTCATGACTCATGCTATAGACACCTTATTGCTATAAACGTATTTACACTTCTGGTATTGAGCTGAATTTTGTCTCCGAATGACCTTAGATCTGTCTCCGAATGACCTTCTGATGTCTAGCAACAATCACTTTTTAATTATGACGTGAAATTTTTTAAATTGTGATGTCAAATTTTACGGAAACTTGTGAGATTTTAAGTAATGACAGACAAATTTGCATACAAGTGTAAATACGTCTATTTGTCCGCAATTACTAGAGATCACAGAGGTATTGGTAAAATTTTGATGTCACAATAGAAAATGTCTTGATGCCACAAGGGAAAAGTGATTGTTGTATGTCGTTTAAAGTTCAAGTGTCGCAAATTCTCAGGTCAAGTGTCGCATATTCCCAAATAGCGAGAGGGTCTGTTCACACGCATCTGACTGAAAAGATTTGTGTTGTATTGTAACCTGAGAGCATGATCCTTATCACAACAAAATCACTTTGTCTCCTCTGGGACTTCAACCTGTTACCTCTGTGTTACAAGGCAATGCTCTAACCGATTGAGCTAAAGAAATACTTCCCTAGCTCAACCGCTTACGGCTGGCTAAGGATCTACTTCATATGCTAAGGGAAGCAATCTCGTCACATTTCCTTCCCTCACTTCTAAAGTCATCATACTATAATGATGATATCTTCAACACTTCCCTGGCGTGGTAATTCTTCTAACTGTGGGTTTTTATTGTTGGGTGCTGAATGTAACTGGAGAGCATGATTCTTCTTACAAAATCACTTTGTCTCATCAGGGACTCGAACCCGGGACCTCTGTGTTACAAGGCAGTGCTCTAACCAACTGAGCTAAAGAAGTCCTTCCCTAGCTCAACGGCTTATGGCTGGCTAAGTATCTACTACATACATGTATATACAAAGGGAAGCAATCCCTTCACAAGACCGAGGGAAAAAATAGTTTTATGGCTAACTTCTTGTATTTCCTCTTATTTCAGAGATGTTCTAGGAAAACGATTCATATTAAAATCTGAATTGTTAATAATTCATTCATATGCATATATTTATCTCTATTCTGCCACTTCAATTCCCTGTAAAACATAACTTAAAAGAACAAAACAAATGAATTTTACTTTTTCATTTACATATATTTTGCTGCTGCCATCTTGACTCAAAATCATGAAAATGGGATGTACATGTACAGTGCAAAAAAAACCAAATTTCTGGTAAATTAAGATTTTCAGACTCGTGCATGCAACCTTATCTAGACAAAATTGTTGCTGGACCGCCAAATCATTTGTTCCAATCTGTCCAATTGTCTGGTGATGTATCAGCCCTGATCAGGGACAGTTTGTAGGAAAACGTGATGCCACAGCTGACAGTTGTGCTAAATTTGTTTAATTATATATTTATCTGAATTTAGCTGCTTAAATTCATTAAATATTCTTAAATATGTCATGATTAGTAACAAAACTGGTTCCTTATCAAATATTGCAGTAATTGAGAGCTCTAGATCTGCTACAAAAGTAGGTTAACTGAAAATACCAGTTCAAATGTTATCCAAATACCCCAAAACTGCAAACAAAATATTGGATTATTACCAACTTTAAGTCGGCCTTCACACGCAATTGTAATTATATAATAATTATATATACATTTTGTAATCATGTTTTTTTGCAATTTAGCAATGCTTTCCTAAAGCTCTGATAGCTGCATGTCATGATGATCATGACTGCATAATTTGATAAAGTCCATTAAACTAGTCAAAATATTTGAAAGAAATAATACATCTTGTGTTGAATTTCTTTGCTAATCCGACGAAGTCGATGGGGACTTTAGGTTTGCACTCTGTCCTTCTGTCTGTCCATCTGTCAGTCCGGCAAATCAGTTTTCCGAACTGTTTTTCTTTGTGCTTGCAGATATTGATTTGATGTTTGGTATATTGTTTGGTATATATTTTCATCATGACAAGTTACAGATCAAGTTCGAATTTTGTTCCTTTCTGATGATTTTGTCGAGAATTATGGTCCCTGGACTTAGTAAATTCACTCAAATATTCAGTTGTCAGTCAGGGCCGCTGCTACCATGCGACTGGAGCGACAAAGTCGCTTTCCCGGCCGTCACTTCGCTTTGACCAACCGTCAAAAGGGAAATCTAGTCGCCCTGTTGTTTACGATACTCGCTTTCGTCATCGGCAATATTCAATTTTTACCAAGTCGATGAAACAGCAATTTTTCAGTAAAAAGTAAAGAAATTCAAAGACATCAATGATTTATTTTCTTCAGAAAAGAGGTTAAAGCATTGATTTTAAAGTTGGTTGCATGTTATTTCATAAAAACAATTTTTTATCACTTCCGGTACTTGTTAGAGAGCGTACATCAAATCATTCTAATTTTCTTCGTCGGCCATTGAAATATTTGTACTAAACTACTGATTGGAACAGCAGAGCTCCAGATAAGAATTCACAAATTGGGGTTTTTACCCACCATTTTTTCATGTAATTGGGTGATAAAGTTTTTTAATTGCATTATCAATTCCAATTCACCCCTCAAGCAAATATCAAATTGGGTTTTTCACCACCAAGCTCCTTAATGTATTGGGTTTTTTCATCAACACAATATTGAATATTTAGGCATGTTATAATCACATTATATCAACCCCAGATGTGTTTCCATCTTAAATGTGTTTCTTTCTTTGTAGAATATGTGCTAGCTGTTTTATTTGGTTTATCCACTGACGAGCAATTGTACATTTAATTTGTGTCCCGTTTTAAACGTTCTGTCAGTTTTGTATTTTCTCAAAACTTATGTAAACTGCAGCTGGTGTCACTAGTTGGACAGGAACTAATTGCCATTCTAGATCCCATATGATCACCCTACAGTTTAATTATAGTTGGGGTAGGTGTGGCTAAGTGTTTAGATTTTTTTGTAATATATGTGAAATTTAGGTGCTGTAAGAAAGTTTTGCCAGTCCTTTCACCTATTTGCCAGATCTACTTTTTAATAAAAATAAAAAGTAGTTTCCAGATTTAAGATATACCCCAAAACCTTGAGGTTTATAGGGTGGTTTAAATTTATAATGACGGAGACCACATTCAACTTAAATTTACAAATAATTCTGCAACATCAAGTAAATAAATGACAATGTTATACTGCACTTGCAAATAAGACAACTATCTTAAGCATCTAGAACAATTAGACCAAAACAAAGAAAGTGTCAAGCTGCATTGACGTAAAAAACGGATATGTGTATTCACTCATCAACTATAAAAATGAAAAAAATAATATATAAACTGATTTCGTTTAATTCAATTTACATAAATCTGGGTTAAATTGTCCCTTATCAGAACTTTTGGTTTCCGATGCTTTCAAACTACATATGTCATAATTGATTTGGCCTTTCACTTTTTCCAACTGATTTCGTTTTTGACGGAACCCCGTGTTTATCGCTCTAGCAATGTTCTCGTTATGGTACGCAAACACGCCGGTGCGTTCAATGGCCGCTTCCTAAAATCACTAGCTGAGTCTTGTTATCATCATTACTTTCCCTCAGCTATCAAAAAGAAGCCGAAAACATGCTTCTATTCAATATTTTTACCGGACATTTACTTTCGTTTTAATTCATTGTATGTTATGATAAATCCCAAGCAATTCGAAAAAATATGACAGCATGTAACACGCTAATTGGATAAACCCGAGAAGATCGAAATGTTTTCATAAACACGTGTACCTTTTGAGCAACGGAAAATTCCAACAGGGACCCATTACAGCTACTTGATGCAGGGTTCTATTTTTAGAACGAAAGGACATTTCCAATTATAAATATTATAAAAATAGATTTACGCGACGACTGTAATCAAGTAAGGGTAAATAACGCAAACGATAGCGAATAAAAGCGTTAAGAACCCATGTTTTTGGCATATAATTGGGTTTTCCTTTGAATTAATTGGGTTATTGAACCCTGCAATGGGCAATTGCATTGGGTTTTTAATTATTTTTATTGCGTGATCACGCAAATACGCAGCTTATCTGGAGCTCTGGAACAGGACCAGCTCTGATCGAAATCTGGATTCTTACGATAATAGATATAAGAAGATGTGGTATGAGTGCCAATGAGACAACTCTCCATCCAAGTCAAAATTTATAAAAGTAAACCATTATAGGTCACAGTACGGTCTTCAACACAGAGCCTTGGCTCATTTTGAACAGTAAGCTATAAAGGGCCCCCAAAATTTTAACTGTTACTTTTATTGTACTCCCAGGTACAAATTGAACAATATAAAAAAATAAGATACATATGGCCCTTTGTATTATAGTAAAACCAAACATTGTAGCGCCGCCAGCGAACGAGCACTTCTCTTTCAAATCTCACCACTTCTCCCTCTCAGTTTCAAAAAGAGAAGTCACTTCTCCCTATGACTCTGAAGTAGTGTGAGCCCTGCTGTACGTCCCAAAATTGGTTTCCGTTCTCTAACTTAAGTTTGCCTCAACCAAATATTATGAAACTTATACACAATGCTTATTACCACAAAACACAGATCAAGTTTGAATTTTGGTGGCATCACTTTAACCGTTCTAGAGTTATGCCCCTTTATAAATGGAAAAATTGCTGAATTTTTCGTTTCTGTTCTCTAAATTTAGTTTGCCTCAACCAAATGTTATGAAACTGATGCACAATGCTAATTACCACAAAACACAGATCAAGTTCGAATTTTGTTGGTGTCACTTTTACCGTTCTAGAGTTATGCCTTTTACAAATGAAAAAATTACTGAATTTTTCGTTTCTGTTCTCTAACTTGAGTTTGCCTCAACTAAATGTTATAAAACTTATAAACAATGCTTATTGCCACAAAACTCAGATCAAGTACAAATTTGGGTAGTGTCACTTTTACAGTTCTTGAGTTATGTCCCTTTATAACATTGTATGCAAGTGGGGGCATCATCTGTGTCCCATGGACACATTCCCCATTTATTTGGTCATGCTTGAAGATATTGATTTGATAATCTGTATGTAGTTTTATAATGACAAGTTACAGATCAAGTATGAAATTTGTGCTGGTCTGATGATTTTGTGCAGAGTTATGGTCCTTGGACTTGGAAAATTCACTCAAATGATCAGTTTCCACTCCCTTTTTTTCATCATGCTTGAAGATATTGAATTGATATTTGTTTAATAGTTTACCCCATGACAATTTATAGATCAAGTATAGCATGTTGTTCCAGGATAATGAAATTTTAACCGGTAGGGGACTATGTATTGCCATGCAATACTCTCAGAATGCTTGTTAAAAGACGGTTTGTTTGCTAGCTGATTTTTTTTCAATTTTTATACGACCGAAAAAATTAAAAATTTTTTGGTCGTATATTGGTATGACGTTGTCGTCGTTGTCGTCGTCTGGCTTCGTCCGGCGTCGTCCGAAGACGCATTGGTTTTCACACTCTTACTTTAGTTTAAGTGAATGGATCTCCATGAAATTTTACCATAAGGTTCAATACCACGAAAGGAAGGTTGGGATTGATTTTGGGGGTTATGGTACCAACAGTTAAGGAATTAGGGGCCAAAAAGGGTCCAAAAATAAGCATTTTTGTAACTTTCAGACAATAACTTGTGTGTAAGTGTATGGATCTCTCTGACATTGTACCACAAGGTTCCATATCACAAAGGGAAGGCTGTAATTGATTTTGGGGGTAATTGCCTCAAAATTTTAGGAATTAGGGGCCAAAAAAGGGGCAAAAAACAAGCATTTTTCTAGTTTCATGACAATAACTTGTGTGTAAGTGTTTGGATATTTCTGAAATTGTACTACAAGGTTTCATATCACAAAGGGAAAGCTGGAATTGAGTTCGGAGGTAATTGCCTGAAACGTTTAGGAATTGGGGGCCAAAAAGGGGCCAAAAATAAGCATTTTTCTAGTTTCAAGACAATAACTTGTGTTCAAGTATATGGATCTCTCTGAAATTGTACTGCAAGGTACCGTACCACAAAGGGAAGGCTGAGATTGAGTTTGGGGGTGATGAATCATAAGGGGGTTCAAAAAATTTGGGGGGGGGGATTTTTTTTTTTTCTTTTAAAATTTTCCATTTTAAGTTGGTTATTTCTGATTTATATTTAAAAGCAAATAATAATGATATGGTAGGAGATACACACCAAACAGGATGTGTAAATTTTTATATAGTAAGTATTGTGCAATAGCAAGAAATCTTCAATTGCACAGTATTGCGCAATAGCAAGAAATCTTCAGTTGCACAGTATTGCGCAATAGCAAGAAATATCCAATAGCACAATATTGCGCAATAGCAAGAAATTGTCAATTGTACAGTATTGCGCAATAGCAAGAAATATTCAATTGCACAGTATTGTGCAAAAGAAGATACTTCTTATAAATTGCTTATTTCTTGGATCAATTTCAATGGGGTTTTATTCTTGAATTCTTGGTGTTCTTTAATATGCTGAATATAACCGTGTATTACGTTTTTGGATTTTGGGCCCCGTTTTTAAATTGGTCCACATTGAGGTCCAAAGGGTCCAAAATTTAACTTTGTTTGATTTCATCAAAAATTGAATTTATGGGGTTCTTTGATATGCCGAATCTAACCGTGTATTTAGATTCTTAATTTTTGGTTCCGTTTTCAAATTGGTCTACATTAAGGTCCAAAGGGTCCAAAATTAAACTTAGTTTGATTTTAACAAAAATTGAATTTTTAGTGTTCTTTGATATGCTGAATCTAAACATGTATTTAGATTTTTGATTATGGGCCCAGTTTTCAAGTTGGTCCAAATCGGGGTCCAAAATTAAACTTTGTTTGATTTCAACAAAAATTGAATATATGGGGTTCTTTGATATGCTGAATCTAACCATGTATTTAGATTTTGGGCCCCCATTATCAACTTTGTCCACATTGAGGTCAAAAGGGTCCAAAATTAAACTTTGTTTGATTTCATCAAAAATTGAATTCTTGGGGTTCTTTGATATGCTGAATCTAACCATGTATTTAGATTTTGGATATTGGACCATAATAGGTGAATGTCCAATTTAAAATTTTTAAGTTCTTAGACCACATTCATTCTGTGTCAGAAACCTATGCTGTGTCAAATATTTAATCACAATCCAAATTCAGAGCTGTATCAAGCTTGAATGTTGTGTCCATACTTGCCCCAACTGTTCAGGGTTCGACCTCTGCGGTCGTATCAAGCTGCGCCCTGCGAAGCATTTTATTTATTTATGCCCTGAACTGTTATGGAACTATATATGTAATCGATATTTAATTTACAGTTAAAAAATTTCTAATGTTTTTTCTAGATGACAATGGATGAAAAATATGTGAACAATATTTGGACATTGCTGAAAAATGCTATTCAAGAAATCCAGAAAAAAAATAACAGTGGACTTAGTTTCGAAGAGCTCTATAGAAATGCCTATACCATGGTATTGCATAAACATGGAGAAAAATTATACACTGGTTTGCGGGACGTTGTCACAGATCATTTAGTTGACAAGGCAAGTAAAGTTATTATCTGAGATTTGGGAGATAAATATGTTTTATCCAATACCAGGATTTTTTTTCTCATAATGGCCCTTTGGGCATGGACAGTTTTATAGCAGTGTGTTCATTACAGATTTTTTCCCAACTTTCCTTTGTAAAATGGAACAAAGATACATGTACATATCTGTTCCATACCTCTAAATTGGCCCTTTGTTCGATTGTCCACCCTTAAACTTTTTTATTGCCTGGCCAAGAAATAATTTTAAAAGATAGCATTTCGTGTTAAGAGTACACTAAATATCCTATTTCCCCTGGCTTATTTAGTCATGTTAGTCAAATTTGCCAAAATCAAATGAAAAAAATGTCACAACATTGGAAATTGATGAAGTTTGATTGTGTTTTTAGTACATTTATCATTGACAGTAACTTGTCAGTAAGTTAGTAATTAAATTTGTAATCTGTCTATATTAACAGATAAGAGAAGATGTTCTTTCAGCATTGAACAATAACTTTCTACAAACCTTGAACAGTGCATGGAATGACCACCAAACATCAATGGTTATGATTAGAGACATACTTATGTATATGGTAGGTATATTTAATTTATTATATTCCAAATCACTGAGTGTATTATAGACTGCAATTAACTTGTCTGTCCATTTGTCCATCTGTAAATTTAGTGTGTATTACTCTGCTTCTGTATTAAGCATGGATTAGTTATTTGGTCATGCTTTCTAATGTTGAAGTTGACTGTGTAAGCTATTTGCAGATTTACAAGGCAGCCATTTCCTGTTTGACAGTATGTTGCATTTCTATCATACATACTGGTCATGAAATATTTTGTTACAGGTTACTCAGACTCTGTATTAAAAATGATTTGAAATTTGGATTGAAACTTTAAATGATGTCAGTTGAGCTGTTCAGTGTAAGCTATTTTCAGATATGCAGGGCAGTCATTTCTTGCTTGACGATATTTTGAATTATCATTCTACTTGCTAAGCAGGGATTTTTCTTCAATGTCAAATAGGAAGTGGGTGTAAATTTTTTAAGACATGGTACATAACTTTTTATTTGAATACAAAAATCATGGCTGATATTGTCAGGACATCATTGAGAGTTTTATAATTTTCCAATGAATATGAATTTATGTTTTAGGACAGAGTGTATGTTCAACAAAATAATGTAGACAATGTGTACAATCTGGGACTGATGATATTTAGAGAGAAGGTTGTAAGACATCCAATGATAAGGGATCACCTCCGCAGTACATTGTTAGAAATGGTAGCAAAGGAAAGAAGAGGAGAGGTGGTCGATAGGTAAATTTGTGATAATATAGTAATAGGTAAAGCTCATGACACAAATCCATTTGAAAAAAAACTCTAGACTTACAATTATAGATATCATACTATCCCCTCAAAGTAAAGGAAGATGTAAAGACCCCCTCCCCAAACAAAAAATTATAAAAAGAAAAAAGATGGATTAGAAATGGAGTTCTTAAACTGTCATAGCTATATAACCAGTAACTATCAGATGGTAAGCAATTTTTTTTATTATGAAAAATATAGTCTTTTTTATACGCCCGTTTAAGGGACGTATTATGGTATACCTCTGTCCGTCCGTCCGTCTGTCCGTCATCAACATTTCGGACATTAACTCAAAACGCTTTAACCAATTTGCATAAAACTTTGGTGACTTGTTTATATCTATTGACGTGAGCTCCCTTTCGTTTTTTATAAAATTTAGATTTTACGTTTCCAAGTTATGGGGTTTCATTCATTAAAAAAAGGGGGATTTTCCAGTTTACGGACCATTAAAAAAGGGGGATTTTCCAGTTTACGGACAATAAGTCAAGAATGCTTTCACCAACTTGCAAGAAATTGTTGTGAATTGTTTATATCTATTGACATAAGCTCCCTTTCTATTTTTATAAATTTTAGATTTTACGTTTCCGAGTTACATTGTTTTATTCATAAAAAAAGGGGGGTTTTCCAGTTTTCGGACAAAAACTCAAAAATGCTTTCAGCAATTCTTATGAAACTTTGGTGGATTGTTTGTATGTATTGATGTAAGCTCCCTTTAGAATTTTATAAATTTTACATTTTACATTTCTGAGTTATGGGGTTTTATTTATTAAAAAAAGGGGTGATTTTCCGGTTTTCAGACAATAACTCAAAAATGCTGTCACCATTTCTCATGAAACTTTGGTGAATTGTTTATATCTATTGGTGTAAGCTCCCTTTTTATTTTCATAAATTTCTAATATGACATTGAGAATTAATTGAACTTTATTTGTTTATAGTCTGACAACAGATTTACTAAGTATTGCACAACAGCAAGAAATCTTTAATTGAATATAAATTCAATTCATATAACCAATTTCAAGTTCTTTGACTACATTTATTCAGAAACATATAATATGTCAAATATTTAATTACAATCCAAATTCAGACCTGAATCAAGCTTGAATATTGTGTCCATTTTTGCCCCAACTGTTCAGGGTTGGACCTCTGCGGGTTTATCTAGCTGCGCTCAGCGAAGCAGTTTATTTGGTAAACATTGCATGAAATGCAATCAAAACCTTATGGTACTGACTTGATATCTATATCTTCCAAGATTTATCACTATCTTTGATAGTTAAAACAAAATAGTGCAGTGAAGTGATCATTATTTAGATCCTAACCAGTCAATGTCAAGTAATTTATTGATGATATGTTGTTATTTGATATTTTAGTTACAATATGATGTGTATTTGAATTACCATACTTGTCAAGAAAAAACATTTTTTTAATCAAATATTACATGAGTTAAGCATGGTGTATGAATCTGTTATAAAAATAAGTTCAACTACAAATGTACAATCATGAACAAAGGAAGATAACTCAACTCAAATTTTAAAATTTCATAGCAAAATACAATTCAATGTTTTATTTAAAAATTCAAAAAAAATGCAAAATGAAAGCAATCTTTACCCTTCAGTGCTCACAAGCTCTTTGATTTCATGAGTTGTAAATGGGTCTTCGGTGGCTAAGTAGTTTATCTACTGTATCACTTGCCTGTCAACATTGGGGTTGTGAGTTGGAACCCCACACATGATAGGTGCATGCAACTCCAATCTAAATTGAATGAGACTGCCAGTTTTCGTGCCAAAGTTCAGTGGTTCTCTCTATGCACCCGTCTTCTCCCACCAATAAAAATGGCCCCCACAATATAGCCAATAGTGCTGAAAGTTGTGTTAATAAAATAAATTAATCTTTAGTTGTAGCATGCTTCAATATGGTATCATATATTTCAGGATTTTAGCAATATTAATTGTTTTAACATGCAGAAACATTTGTTGTTTGATCATTAGGATATATTTGCTGTTGATGCATGTGTAAAATGTATAATAAAGTAAAAAAAAAAATCTTATACTTTGCAATAAACAGGGGTTGGTATATATGATCACATCTCAAATTATAGATTGTTGGGAAACCCTTATCACATATTTTTTTATTTGGCCTAAATACATTTTAAGTTAATAGTTTTAATGTTGTTTTTTTTCTAGGGGAGCTGTTAAAAACGCTTGTCAAATGCTGATGGTTCTTGGCATAGACTCCAGAGCTGTATATGAAGAAGATTTTGAAAGACCATTTCTGGAGCAAAGTGCAGAATTTTACAGGGTATAAACATATGTACATGTACAATTAACCAGTTTGATTCTGAACTTTAACATAATTATTCAGTTTCTAGCTCATCTGACTCAAAGGGTCAAGTGAGCTATTTTCATCATGTCTGTTGTTGTCTGAAACAAAAATTTGGCCACCATTATCATTGACATTGTGGTATCTAGTTTAAAAAAACTGTCAGATTATTCCTTATAGGAGTAATTGGCCCTAATGAAAATTTTTAACTGGATTTCCAAAGGAAGATATTGTTTATTAGTTTGATAATGTACAGCGGGTGGCTGGGTGGGCAGCTGCTAAACAGTGTCCGTTTAATAACTTGAAAACCCTTTGATGAAATCTTTTCACGATTTTTGCTTTTATCGTTTTTGACCTTTAAGTAGCTAAAAATTGATACTTAGAGCATTGTCCGTAAAATTACTTGAAAATGCTTTGACGTAATCTTTTCAAATTTAAATATGTTGTTTCCTGTGACTAAATGAAGGTCAAGTTCAATTTTCACGATTTTATCTTTTATTGTTGTTGAGTTGTAGACCTTTATGTATTGAAAATTGTGTCCTGTGACTTAATGAAGGTCAAGTTCGATTTTCACCATTTTAACTTTTATCGTTGTTGAGGTGTAGACCTTTAAGTAGCGAAAGTGATACTTGGATTGATTTTGACCCAAATTTAGCAATTTAAAGAAAAAGTAAACAGTATTAAAGTTTGAATATATCAATGAACATTTTTGTGAGAGAGATTCAGGAAGATACATGCTCTATCAGATATTTTATTTTTGCAGTCTGAGAGTCAAAAGTTCCTTGCCGAAAACAGTGCTTCTGTGTATATAAAGAAAGTGGAAGCAAGAATCAATGAGGAAGCTGAAAGAGCTACTCATTATTTGGACACTTCAACTGAAGATCCCATTGTTAGGGTAAGTATTACTTGTAATTATGTAGAAGTAAGATTTTTAATATTCTGAAAAAAACTTGCATGTTTTCATTTAGACTGTTTTATACGACCACAAAAAAAAATTTTCATAATTTTTTGGGTTTTTTCCCCCCAAAATTTTCCATTTTTGCATTGATTATTTCTGATTTATATATAAAAGCAACAAATACTGATATGGCAGGAGATACACACCAAACAGGGTGTGTAAATTATTATATATAACAGATTAAGTATTGTGCAACAGCACAGTATTGCGCAATAGCAAGAAATCTTCAATTGAAAATAACTATACATTTTTTAACCAATTTCAATGGGATTAAATTAAGTTTTTAATTTTTTGGGGTTCTAACCTTGTATTACTATTATGGATATTGGGCCCCATTTTTAAATTGGTCTACATTGAGGTCCAAAGGGTCCAAAATTAAACTTTGTTTGATGTCATCAAAAACTAAATTATTGCGGCTCTATGATATGCTGAATCTTATTGTGCATTCAGATTTTTTATTTTGGGCCCTGTTTTCAAATTAGTCCATATTAAGGTTTGAAGGGTCCAAAATTTAACTTTGTTTGATTTCAACTAGAATTAAATTTTTGGTGTGTTTTAATATGCTGAATCTAACTATGTTGTTAGATTTTGGATATCAGACCATTGTTGGTAAATTAAATGTCCCATTTCAAATTTTTAAGATCTTTGGACACATTTATTTTGTGTCAGAAACCTATATTATGTCAAAAATTTGATCACAATCCAAATTTAGACAGTATCAAGCTTGAATATTGTGTCCAAACTTGCCCCAACTGTTCAGGGTTTGACCTTTGCGGTTGTATCAGGCTGGGCTCGGCGAAGCATTTTATTTTCTTTTCATGTGCTTTAAGAAAAATGGAAGTTATCGTTGAACCATTTTATCATCACTTTTATATTATCAACCACATGTCATAGAACATACTAAGTTTTTAGAGTGATTATTTCAGGTTTTGGAAGAAGAATTAATCAGTAAACATATGAAGACAATTGTAGAGGTAAGTTTTGCCCTGTAATCAAAGTTTGTACAGATGGAGATAATTCTTTATGTCTGTCCATTTGACCATACTGACAGTGTTATACTATTCAGTCCTTTATGAATTATAATGTTTCATTAAAATTTTCACAATGAAGAGTACTGTGTTAAAATATTCGTGGGAGAGTATGATTTGTGTCTAATGTTTTGATGTCAATTGGATAGTCAATTACCAAGAAAAAAAATTAAAATATTTGACTTGCGTCCAGTTTAAGTATTGCATTCCTTAAAACATACGCTGATGATTTATTTATTATTATACCCTCGCTTTAAAAAAGGGGGTAAACTGTTTTACCTCTGTCTGTCCATCTGTCCGTCCCATGAATATTTTTTTTATCGCATCTTTCTCAGGAACTACATTACAAGGATTTCTGAAATTTGGTTTCAGGGTTTATATGAGTCAGCTATACTGTGTGATGCGTTTTCAGATTCATCACTCAACAACTTCCTGTTAACCTTATACTTTTAGCGGGGCGGGGGTATCGTTAGTGAGCAGTAGCTCACAGATTCACTTGTTTTTTTCCTGAAATGAAAATTTGTAAAAAGAATGATTCTGAATAAGGGCAAGTAAAAAAAAGGTCCATATAAAAATACAAAATCTAGTGTGATAAAATGGAGTAATTAAACAACCTACATATCTATACAGAAAATAAGAGGTAAAGGAAGGGCAAACATATTTTTAACTTTAATTTATATAAGGTTAAACATAACTAGAATGCAACCAAACAAAAAACTACAGCAGGCAACAAAAGTCTAAACACATGAGCAGGAAGTCTTGCCATGTAACAAGACTTGATTTGCCTAAAAAGATTTGTTTTTTTAATGAAAATGTTAATTTATATAAAGACTGATTAGCCTGAAATAAAGAATAGATTTTTTATGCCCCCGTCGTAGAGGTGGATACAGATTTTAAGTTTTATCCTTGTCCGTCTGTACGTACGTACGAACATACATCCAAAATTTGTTTCCGTTCTCTAACTTGAGTTTGCCTCAACCAAATGTTTTGAAACTTATCCACAATGCTTATTACCACAAAACACAGATCAAGTTTGAATTTTGGTGGCGTCACTTTAACCGTTCTAGAGTTATGCCCCTTTATAAATGGAAAAATTGCAAATCATCCGAAGACACATTGGTTTTCGCACTCTAACTTTAGTTTAAGTGATTGGATCTCTATGAAATTTTACCATAAGGTTCAATACCACAAAAGGAAGGTGGGGATTGATTTTGGGGATTATGGTATCAACAGTTAAGGAATTAGGGGCCAAAAAGAGGCCAAAAATAAGCATTTTTATACGACCGCAAAAAAAATTTTTGTGGTCGTATATTGGTATGACGTTGGCATCGTCGTCCGGCGTCGTCGTCCGAAGACACATTAGTTTTCGCACTCTAACTTTAGTTTAAGTGAATGGATCTCAATGAAATTTTACCATAAGGTTCAATACCACAAAAGGAAGGTGGGGATTGATTTTGGGGGTTATGGTACCAACAGTTAAGGAATTAGGGGCCAAAAAGGGGCCAAAAATAAGCATTTTTATACGACCGCAAAAAAATTTTTGTGGTCGTATATTGGTATGACGTTGGCGTCAACGTCGTCGTCGTCGTCGTCGTCGTCGTCGATCGGCGTCGTCGTCCGAATACACATTAGTTTTCGCACTCTAACTTTAGTTTAAGTGAATGGATCTCATTGAAATTTTACCATAAGGTTCAATACCACAAAAGGAAGGTGGGGATTATGGTACTAACAGTTAAGGAATTAGGGGCCAAAAGGGGCCAATAATAAGCATTTTTGTAACTTCCAGACATAACTTGTGTGTAAGTGTATGGATCTCTCTGACATTGTACCACAAGGTTCCATATCACAAAGGGAATGCTGGGATTGATTTTGGGGGTAATTGTCTCCAAATTTTAGGAATTAGGGGCCAAAAAGGGGCAAAAAACAAGCATTTTTCTAGTTTCATGACAATAACTTGTTTGTAAGTGTATGGATCTTTATGAAATTGTACTACAAGGTTCCATATCACAAAGGGAATACTGGGATTGATTTTTGGGGTAATTTCCTCCAAATATTAGGAATTAGGGGCCAAAAAGGGGCAAAAAACAAGCATTTTTCTAGTTTCATGACAATAACTTGTTTGTAAGTGTATGGATCTTTATGAAATTGTACTACAAGGTTCCATATCACAAAGGGAAGGCTGGGATTGATTTTGGGGGTTTTCCCTCAAAATTTTAGTAATTAGGGGCCATAAAAGGGCAAAAAAAACATGCATTTTTCTAGTTTCAGGACAATAACTTGTGTGTAAGTGTATGGATCTTTATGAAATTGTACTGCTAGGTTCCATATCACAAAGGGAAAGCTGGAATTGAGTTTGGGGGTGATTGCCCTAATCGTTTAGGAATTTGGGGCCAAAAAGGGGCCAAAAAACAAGCATTTTTCTAGTTTCCAGACAATAACTTGTGTTCAAGTGTATGAATCTCTCTGAAATTGTACTGCAAGGTACCATACCACAAAGGGAAAGCTGGGATTGAGTTTGGGGGCGATGAATCATAAGGGGGTTCAAAAAATTGGGGGGGGATTTTTTTTTTCCTTTTTTTTCTTTAACATTTTCCATTTTAAATTGGTTATTTCTGATTTATATATAAAAGCAAATAATAATGATATGGTTTGAATAGGCATACATGTGAACCTCCCGACGGGAGTACAATAATCCCGTTTTCAGGGGTCTCCTCCCCCCTTCCCGTTGAAAAAATCCCGTGTATGAAATTTTTCATGAATGAAAAATTTCTGCCCAACATAACATCTCAGGCATCTGGTGTAACTGACATTACCTGAAGTTATATTTTACCTGTAAATCAATTAACATGCATAATTATATGGCTTCACTTGTCAGCTTGGGTGTCAAACATACTGGTAAGCAACGATTTTTACCTCAGGCTAACTGCCGTTGTGTAACAAAAACTGTGTATTTATTGGGTTACTTCCCTTGATTTATCCTGTTTTAAGTTACTTTCCTTTTAATAATGAAAATTTTTAAAAGAATATAAATAAAATATAAATTGAACAAATAATCATAAAAGGATGGTTATTAAATGATTTTAAATGTCTTAGGACAAATAAAAAAATAATAATTTGAAAATTATTTGAGGATTCTATACTTCCTTTTAAGGCTTAAATTGAAATTTATATATTATCACTATGACCCTAACTTTACAGATAGAATGAATTTCTGAGTTTGCAAATAAAAACTATTTGCAAGAGAAAAAAAAAAAAAAATATAAACTAATTGCAGACAGCTAAACAAATGTTCTGGTTGCAATGATTGTTTTATAGAATATGAAGTAAAAAATTTAAAGAACATACTGGAAAAAAACAATGTTAGATTGAACATGTAGAATATAAAGATGGAGAAACTTTATAAGTACAAGGGTACTATAAACATAATAAATTGGTTGGAAAGTTGAAGAAAACACACTTTAAAAGACCATTTTTACAGCACACGGTTACATTTACAACAAAATTAATGTCGATTAAAAACCTCCTGATCTGAGTCCTAATCTCCTGACCAAAATTTCCCAATCTCCTGATCTGAGTTTCACAGTCCATCACATGTATGAATAGGTAAATTGAAAATTTTTAAGTTCTTAGACCACTTTCATTCTGTGTCAGAAACCTATGCTGTGTCAAATATTTAATTACAATCCAAATTCAGTGCTGTATCAAGCTTGAATGTTGTGTCCATACTTGCCCCAACTGTTCAGGGTTCGACCTCTGCGGTCGTATCAAGCTGCGCCCCAGCGGAGCATTTTATTGTAACTTCCAGACATAACTTGTGTATTAGTGTATGGATCTCTCTGACATTGTACCACAAGGTTCCATATCACAAAGGGAATGCTGGGATTGATTTTGGGGGTAATTGCCTCCAAATTTTTAGGAATTAGGGGCCAAAAAGGGGCAAAAAAACAAGCATTTTTCTAGTTTCATGACAATAACTTGTGTGTAAGTCTATGGATCTCTCTGACATTGTATCACAAGGTTCCATATCACAAAGGAAACGCTGGGATTGATTTTGGGGGTAATTGCCTCCAAATCTTAGGAATTAGGGGCCAAAAAGGGGCAAAAAACAAGCATTTTTCTAGTTTCATGACAATTATAACTTGTGTGTAAGTGTATGGGTCTTTATGAAATTGTACTACAAGGTTCCATATCACAAAGGGAAAGCTGGAATTGATTTTGGGGGTAATTGCCCTCAACGTTTAGGAAAAAGGGGCCAAAAATAAGCATTTTTCTAGTTTCCAGACATAACTTGTGTTCAAGTGTATGGATCTCTCCGAAATTGTACTGCAAGGTACCATACCACAAAGGGAAGGCTGGGATTGATTTTGGGGGTAATTCCCTAGAAATTTGAGGAATTAGGGGCCATAAAGGGGCAAAAAAACAAGCATTTTTCTCGTTTCAGGACCATTACTTGTGTGTAAGTGTATGGATCGTTATGAAATTGTACTGCTAGGTTCCATATCACAAAGGGACAGCTGGGTTTGAGTTTGGGGGTAATTGCCCTAAATGTTTAGGAATTTGGGGCCAAAAGGGGGCCAAAAAACAAGCATTTTTCTAGTTTCCAGACAATAACTTGTGTTCAAGTGTAAGGATCTCTCTGAAATTGTACATGTGAACCTCCTGACGGGAGTACAATAATCCCGTTTTCAGGGGTCTCCTCCCGACCTCTCGTTGAAGACAAAAAAATCCCGTGTATGGAATATTTCATGAATGAAAAATTTCAGCCCAACATATCTGGTGTAACTGACATTACCTGAAGTTATATTTTACCTGTAAATCAATTAACATGCATAATTATATGGCTTCACTTGTCACCTTGGGTGTCAAACATACTGGTAATCAACGTTTTTTACCTCAGGCTAACTGCCGTTGTGTAATAAAACTTTGTGTATGTAAATTTAAAATGAATGTTGGGTTACTTCCCTTGATTTATCCTGTTTTAAGTTACTTTTCTTTAAATAATGTAAATTTTTAAAAGAATACAAATAAAATATAAATTGAACAAATAATCATAAAAGGATGGTAATTAAATGATTTTAAATGTCTTAGGAGACAAATAAAAAAATAATAATTTGAAAATTATTTGAGGGTTCTATACTTCCTTTCAAGGCTAATAACTATGACCCATGACTTTAGATTTAATGTGTTACTTCAATATCATGCATTAAAAATCTACTTGCATAAAGATAAAAATAAAAGATCTACTTGCAGATAGATAAGCAAATGTTCTGATTGCAATGAATAATGGTAAAAAAGATATGACCTAAAAAATTTAAAGAACATACTAAAAAAGAAGAATGTTAGATTGAACAAGTTGAAAGTTTAAAAAGATAGAGAAAATTTATAAGTACAAGGGTACTATAAACATAATACATTCGGATGGAAAGTTGAAGAAAACACACTTTAACAGACAATTTCTACAGCACATGGTTACATTTACGACAGAATTTATGTCGATTAAAAACCTCTGATCTGAGTCCTAATCTCCTGACCAAACTTTCCCAAACTCCTGATCTTAGTTTCACAGTCCATCACATGTACAGTACTGCAAGGTACCATACCACAAAGGGAAGGCTGGGATTGAGTTTGGGGGGTGATGAATCATAAGGGGGTTCAAAAAAAAAAAAATTTTTGGGGGGGGGGATTTTTTTTCCCTTTTTTTCTTTAAAATTTTCCATTTTAAATTGGTTATTTCTGATTTATATATAACAGCAAATAATAATGATATGGTTTGAATAGATAAATTAAAATTTTTTAAGTTCTTAGACCACATTCATTCTGTGTCAGAAACCTATGCTGTGTCAAATATTTAATTACAATCCAAATTCAGTGCTGTATCAAGCTTGAATGTTGTGTCCATACTTGCCCCAACTGTTCAGGGTTCGACCTCTGCGGTCGTATCAAGCTGCGCCCCAGCGGAGCATTTTATTGTAACTTCCAGACATAACTTGTGTGTTAGTGTATGGATCTCTCTGATATTGTACCACAAGGTTCCATATCACTAAGGGAATGCTGGGATTGATTTTGGGGGTAATTGCCTCCAAATGTTAGGAATTAGGGGCCAAAAAGGGGCAAAAAACAAGCATTTTTCTAGTTTCATGACAATAACTTGTGTGTAAGTGTATGGATCTTTATGAAATTGTACAACAAGGTTCCATATCACAAAGGGAAAGCTGGAATTGAGATTGGGGGGTAATTACCCTAAACGTTTAGGAATAGGGGGCCAAAAAGGGGCCAAAATTGGGCCAAAATTAAGCATTTTTCTAGTTTCCAGACAATAACTTGTGTTCAAGTGTATGGATCTCTCTGAAATTGTACTGCAAGGTAATATACCACAAAGGGAAGGCTGGGATTGATTTTGGGGGTAATTGCCTCAAAGTTTTAGGAATTAGGGGCCATAAAGGGTAAAAAAAACAAGCATTTTTCTAGTTTCAGGACAATAACTTGTGTGTAAGTGTATTGATCTTTATGAAATTGTACTACAAGGTTCCATATCACAAAGGTAAAGCTGGGTTTGAGTTTGGGGGTAATTGCCCTAAACGTATCAGAATTTGGGGCTAAAAAATAAGCATTTTTCTAGTTTCCAGACAATAACTTGTGTTCAAATATATGGATCTCTCTGAAATTGTACTGCAAGGTACCATACCACAAAGGGAAGGCTGGGATTGAGTTTTGGGGTGATGAATCATAAGGGGGTTCAAAAAATTGGGGGGGGGGGGGGGGGGGGGGCGATTTTTTTTTCCTTTTTTTTCTTTAAAATTTTCCATTTTAAATTGGTTATTTCTGATTTATATATAAAAGCAAATAATAATGATAGGGTTTGAATAGGTAAATTAAAAATTTTAAGTTCTTAGACCACATTCATTCTGTGTCAGAAACCTATGCTGTGTCAAATATTTAACTACAATCCAAATTCAGTGCTGTATCAAGCTTGAATGTTGTGTCCATACTTGCCCCAACTGTTCAGGGTTCGACCTCTGCAGTTGTATCAAGCTGCGCCCCAGTGGAGCATTTTATTAAAATTGGAGTTATCTTCCTTTGTCCATGATTATAGTTGAATAATGCTTTATACAATGCAATGTTTAATTTTAACTTCCACTGATAAAACACAGATCAAGATGAATTTGAGTTATGCCCCTTTATAAATTGAAAGATTGCAAAATTTTTAGTTTCCATTCTGTAACTTAAGTTTGCCCCAACCAAACATTATGAAACCTATACATAATATTCATTACCACAAAACTAAGATCGATTACAAATTTTTTGTTTCCGTTTTCTAACTTTAGTTTGCCTCTACCAAATGTTATGAAACTTATACACAATGCTTATTACTACAAAATACAGATTAAGTACGAAATTTGGTGGCGACACTTTTACCATTCTTGAGTTATGTCCCTTTATGAACATAAAAATTGCTGAATTTTTTTACGTTTCAGTTCTCTAACTTTAGTTTGTATCAACCAAATGTTATAAAACTTATACACAACCGTTCTAGAGTTATGCGTGTTTACAAATAGAAAAATTGCTGAATTTTTAGCTTCTGTTCTCTAATTAATTAATTAAGTTCAAATTTGGGTAGCGTCACTTTTACCATTGTTCAGTTATGTCCCTTTATAACTATATGATATGTAAGCGGGGGCATCATCTGTATCCACATGTGGACACTATCCACATTTATTTTTATTGAAAATGTGACTTCAAAAGTACAATTAATATCTGTATTGCATTATGCACATTTATGAACTATTTACATAAAGCTATTAAAACCCTTTATACAATAAATATGAATGTATTTGATTTGTAGATGGAGAACTCGGGAGTTGTTCATATGCTGAAAAATAATAAAACAGATGGTAAGTTTTTAGATAGATATACATAATAAGTAGATAGGGTATGATTGCCAATAAGACAAGTATTCACTGGAGACCAAAGGAAGAGGAAGTAAACAACTATAGGCCATTGTATGACCTTCGTATAAATGTTCTTAGGAAACTCAATGAGTTCTCATCTAATAATAATTTTATCTGAACGTAAAAGTTTCTCCGAAACAGTAATTCATTAAAAATTGCTAACAGTATAGTCATTGAAGATTCTGTTTATACATACAGTGCATGATAATAAATAAGGCCATGAAATACAAGGAAATCACCATATATTAACATGATTCAAGTATTGGGGTTTTATATATAGTTATCAAAATTAACAATGAAATAACAAACTCCATCAAGACATGCTTGTATATTAACTGTAGAGTTAGTAGTTATAGCCAGCCCTACTGCTCATGATTTTATGCATAGAAAGCTCATTGATTTGACTGAAAACTTGCAAAGGGAAAAATCACAAAACCAGTAAAAAATATGTACACGGTATACATCAATGAGACAACAACTCATAAACACAAGAAAAACAGAAAGGTCAACATGACAATTATCTTCATATAACATCAAGTCCACTACAAAAGATTTGATATATTTTTTTATCGTCAAAAATGTACATAGCAATCACAAATTTGGTAGATCATGTACAAAATATCTGTTTACTGAGATTAAAAAAGATTGGTAATATTTAAGAATAGAAAGTCTTGTGGTCTTGCTGAATCGTGCAACACAAGAAATCTACCTCAATGAAGGTTTACTTTCATATTTTGCTTTGAAATGTTCCTTTCAGATTTAGCTTGTATGTACAAGTTGTTTATACGTGTATTAAATGGTTTGAAGACAATGTGTGACTGTATCAGTGTGTACCTGAGGGAACAAGGCAAAGCTATTGTATCCGAAGAAGGAGAAGATGGTAAAAATGCCATCACATATGTACAGGTATTAGAATAATGCCTATCTTGAATTATTCACTAATGCTATTCTGAAAAATCAGTGAAAAAGAGATTTAGATTAATCTTGCCATCAATAAAAGTATAGAACTTACAAGATTTGGATTCAAGTAGAAATACATGTACGTATAAAGATAAGGAGATGTGGTATGATTGCCAATGAGACAACTATTCACCCAAATTTATATGAAGTGGATGTAAGCAATTATAGGCAACCGAACAGCCTTCTACAATGAAAAAAAAACCATACCTTGTAGTCTGCTATAAAAGGCCCTGATGCAATTATTCATCAAGAAATAATTATAAAAGATGATATAAAATGATATGTATAGTTCAATTCATATTGCATCAAGTTGATGAATTATTATTTTTATCAGATTTAAGCATTAATATTGAAATGTTTTTGTCTTATATTTTCAGAGTTTGTTGGATTTAAAGGATAGATTTGACCATTTTCTGCATGAGTCTTTCGGTGACGATAAACAGTTTAAACAAATGATCTCTAAAGACTTTGAAAATTTTATTAATTTGAATCCTAAGTCCCCAGAGTATTTATCACTGTTCATAGATGAAAAATTGAAGAAAGGAGTTAAAGGAGTAAGTATTAACAATTCAAAAGGTTTGTTGATGTCAATAGTTGAAAATATGTTTCTCACTAGATATTGAATTTCTTGGCTTTTGTGAACATGAAATCCAAGCAAGTAGTAAAGATACTTTACAAACAGTATACAGATTCTTTAATGCAACTCAGAAAATTTGCTAATCGTTTATGCATGTGAAAAAAAAAGATGTATTGTTCACTTAAAAGATGAAACCTTGGCGACATTTTGAAACAGGATTACTATGAGTGACAGAAAAGATGTTAGTTTATTGTCCCCTGGGCAATGCGTTTTCTGCAAAGATTTCCAGGAATTAAAATTCTTGCCAGATTTTTATGAAACTTATATCATAGGTTTATAACAGCAATGTCTTGGACAAGTTTGAAAATCAGTGCTGATCAATTATTTTTAAAAGAGTTATGCCCCTTAGAAATATTAATTATATGGAAATTTGCATTGTAAGCACTCTCACATGTAAAATTTTTGCAAGATTTTTATCAAATTCATACCGTTGGTACTCGAGTAAAAGTCGATCCGTTCATCAATTCTACAACAAAATATTGCTATATCTTCTTTTAGTACTTGAGCAATGATTCAAATACAATTGTTTCCGAATGAAGCTTCACAACATTATTAACTTTTTATGCCCCTGCCGTAGCGGAGGGGGCATTAAGTTTTACCCTTGTCCGTCCGTACGTACGTCCCAACGTTGTTTTCCGTTCTCTAACTTTAGTTTGCCTCAACCAAATGTTATGAAACTTATACACAATGCTTATTACCACAAAACACAAATCAAGTTTGAATTTTGGTGGAGTCACTTTAATCGTTCTAGAGGTTATGCCCCTTTACAAATGGAAAAATTGCTGAATTGCTCAACCAAATGTTATGAAACTTATACACAATGCTTATTTCCACAAAACTCAGATCAAGTAAAAATTTGGGTAACGTCACTTTTACTGTTCATCAGTTATGTCCCTTTATAACTTTATATTATATGCAAGCGGGGGCATCATCTGTGTCCCATGGACACATTCCCCATTTATTTCTTTATCTGCTGAGTTTCGACTGCAGTAAGTGTAGAAACAGTCTCAACTTGTCTTTGTTTTTCATTGTAGATGACAGAACAGGAAATAGAAACAGTGTTAGATAAGAGTATGGTGTTATTCAGGTTCTTACAAGAAAAGGATGTATTTGAACGGTATTATAAACAGCATCTTGCTCGTAGGTTATTGCTCAACAAAAGTGGCTCAGATGATTCAGAAAAGAATATGATTTCAAAATTAAAGGTAAATATCATAATGGACCCATTTATCACTTTTCAAGATACATTGTAGATCAGTGAGTTGAAAGAAATCTTAAATATTGGTGTTATGGTGGCATTTAATTTCCTTATCATCTCGCTTGATAGATAAAGCATTATCTCTTTGTACTCAGAACTATTTTAACATGTGTTTGCTTAGTTTATACAGAAATAAGGAGATATGGTATGATTGCCAATGAGATAATCATCCACCAGAGTCGTGTAAATTTAAGCAACCATAGGTTACTATATGGCCTTCAACAATGAGCAAAACACAATCCATATAATCAGCTATTGAAAGTTGAGGCCCCACCATGACAGAATGTGAAACAATTTAAATGAAAAAACCAAAAAACAGGTTTATGACAAAACAATAAAAGAAAAACACATATGACAGACAGCATCTAACTACAACTACTGAATTACAGGCTCCTGACTTTATACAGACACATAAAGAATGTCATGTGGTTAAACATGAGCATTCCATCTTCCTCTAACCTTAGACAATTATATATTTAGTTCGTATAGTTGCTAGACAAAAGAACTGAAATATGTGAAAATGAAATATTACTTTTCAACAAATGTCCATTAGTGCTTGTAATTTTTAAGTGAAAAGAATGTGAAAAAATTGAAGGTACTGTTATTTACAACTTATAACGTAAAAGATTAAAGTTATTGTATCATTGCAATATCCTTTTTATCTTTATATCTTTGTAGACTGAGTGTGGTTGTCAGTTTACATCTAAGTTAGAAGGAATGTTTAAAGATATGACAGTATCTAACACAATTATGGATGAATTTAAAGGTTTCTTAAGTACAGCGCAGGTAAAGTGTGTTTCTTGTCTTAATAAAGATTATGGTTTAATGAATTCTAAAAGTATATTTCTATAATTAACAATTTGTATTACAGCTATATTTTTTGGAATGTGTATAAACAAAACAAAAAAGTTAAGTTTGATTGTTTATTTTGGATGATGATAAAAACCAATATTTCCTTTGTTTACTACCTGTTTATTGAAAGAGCTGCAATTTCATTTTTTAGCCAATCAAGAGGTAACAAAAGGATAGCTGCAAAACTTTTCTGAAACAGTTTTTGTCGAGCCTGCGACTTTTGTCGCAGAAAGCTCGACATAGGGATAGTGATCCAGCGGCAGCGGCGGCTGCGTTAGCTAACTGTTTAAAAGCTTTATATTTTAGAAGGTGGAAGACCTGGATGCTTCATACTTTGTATATAGATGCCTCATGTTACGAAGTTTCCATCAGTCGCATGTCCAATGTCCTTGACCTCATTTTCATGGTTCAGTGACTACTTGAAAAAAAGTTCAGATTTTTTGGAATGTTAAATTCTCTCTTATTATAAGTAATAGGATAACTGACCTTGACCTCATTTTCATGGTTCAGTTGTTATAGTTTAGTTTTTGTGTTTTGGTCTGTTTTTCTAATACTGTATGCAATAGGTCAACTGTATTTGGTGTATGGAAATATTTTACGATGTTCATGTCAGTCTGGCAAGTTTTGTTTGACCTTGACCTCATTTTCACGGTTCATTGCTCAATGTTAAGTTTTTGTGTTTTGGTCTGTTTTTCTAATACTGTATGCAGTAGGTCAACTTTATTTGGTGTATGGAAATATTTAATGATGTACATGTCAGTCTGGCAGGTTTTATTTGACCTTGACCTCATTTTCATGGTTCATTGCTTATGTTAAGTTTTTGTGTTTTGGTCTATTTTTCTTACACTTTAAGCAATAGGTCAACTATATTTGGTGTATGGAATGATTGTAAGGTGTATATGTCTGTCTGGCAGGTATCGTCTGACCTTTACCTCATTTTCATGGTTGATTGGTCAATGTTCAGTTTTCCTGGTTAATTTTTTTTTTTTAGATACCTTAAGCAATAGGTCAACTATATTTTGAATGATTTTAATGTGTACATGTCTGTCTGGCAGGGTTCAAATGACCTTGACTTCATTTTCATGGTTCATTGGTTAATATAGAATTTCCATGGTTTGGTCTGTTTCTTTTATACTATAAGCAATAGGTCATCTATATTCTGTGTATGGAGGGATTGTATTAAAGGTGTACATGTATTTCCGGCTTGGTTTATCTGACCTTGACCTCATTTTCTTGGATCATAAATGTTAATGTGATACTTGTAGTAAAACTTTATATGTAGGACTATCAACATAAAATCAATGGTCAGTATAGTAGGTGAGACATTTCAGCGTGTGCACTCTTGTTTTTCTATATAAACAATAATACTAATAATGAATTTGTTCACCTAGAAAGTAAACAGATTTTACTTTCTACATACATACCTTAATGGTTTGGTAGCTGTTATGATTGTATGCAACTGATGAAACTTAAGGAATATTTGTAAACTGTTTTATATTTTTTTTCCCATTTAAAATCAGACAACTCGGTGTACATGTTTTTAGTTTTTGTGCATAATTTTTTCCATATTTTTCATGTTTTCTTCTTAACCAGATGATACTGTTCCAATCTTTATACATGGTTCTGTTGTTAAATTGACATTGTATTTATTTTTATCTATAGAATGCAGAAGAGGTATGGCCACAATTAGTCAATTTCTGAAATGTTTTTCACATAAATTGAATCAGACTTTTCATTAAAAGTTTCATTATTCTACAAGAAATAATTTCTCAGAAATTGAATAAAAAACTAGAAATTGATTTCTTATGGCCTGTTTTAATTTTAGATAAAACTTTTTTACTGGTTTGTTTAACAGTATACTTATGCTGTCTGCAAAAGAACATTGATTCTAGACTGATTATTCAAGAATGATGGCAGTAAACGGTGGTATAGGAACAGCTTTATGAGAGCTAAATCTGATCATTATACATGTTTGATCATTGTCATGTGACAACTGGGTATTAATCATCAAATTTCCAAAATAGGGAAGTTATGGAATTTGTGAATTAAAATGAATGAAACAGTCCCCCAATCGTACTGTACGCACCATTTTTTTTTTGTAAGAATTTTATCATTGCTTGAACACCAAACCCATGTCAGATTTAATTGATTGATTGGGATATTGGAAAAAATTCTTGAAATGACAGAAATTGAACCAATGTACTTTTATATTTACATTTATATTTTATTTTCATAATGAGTAAACATACAGAATACACTTCAATTCAGTTTAATACAGAAATTAAAATTTATTACTAATTTAACATCTATCTAGCCAAGATATACAGTGTGAATGTACACACAAAAAAGTTTTAAATACTATATTGATGTGTATTTTTAATAGAACATTTTTGAAATGATATGAAATAGTTTAATTTTGAATAATAAGAAATAAAAATGTAACCACAGTTGATCTACCACTAGCAGTGTGTCATTGTGGTATTCTTTAAGACAGTATTGTCTTATTATAACAATAAGTCGTGTAATTTAAATTGCAGGTTAATCTAAGTGGGGTGGATCTAACTGTGCGAGTATTAACGACAGGGTTCTGGCCTACACAGTCAGCAACACCCAGATGTAATATACCTAGTGCAGCACGTACAGCCTTTGAAAATTTTAGAAGGTATCGATAACTTTTAACTAATGCTTATTGTCTAGAAATAAGAGTTTTTTCTTTTTTTTAGATCAATCTTTTTTAGAAAATAAGAGGGGGTATCGACTACTTTTTCTTAAACCCTCAACGAGACAGGACATTATATACATACCATAGTCCTCGTGTCAATCTGTCAATCAGTTGTCCATCTGTTCATTAACACTTAGTATGATAACTCAAATTTGATTCAAACAATTCTGTAATTTTGACACAACATTAGGATTGAAGGAAGAAAGCTCCCTTTAGATTTTCATTCAGAATTATGAGATTTTATTAGTTAGATATAAGGCAGTTTTTCACATATTGACTAAAATATAAATCAGTACACATCTAAGGGTAAATTGTAAAGATGTCATAAACAATCTGAAAAAAACTTGACCGTGTGCAAATTCAAAATATATGTATTATATAATAGAATGTAGGACCATAAATGTTCATAACTGAATAGCAATGCATATTTAGTTATGATTTAATGTTATTAAGAATAAGAATTTGTTTATTTGTTCACAGGACACGATGTCCAGTTGACATATATTCTAGTTTAATGATATCTTTAAGGATAGTATGATGCTTTAGCAAGTGCACTTCCAAAAAAATAAATATGATGATAGAATAATAATTTCAATGCTTTGTCTTTATGCTCAGAAATATTAAAATTGTTTGACTTAAAACAAAAAACAATCAACTTAAGAAGGTGACACATAGCTTATCAGTTGAATGCTCAGTTTAACCTAAGAAGAACTTGATAAAACTTGGTTAACTGACAATGTATATAATTTAGGGGCTCCATTATCCTGTGATTTAAAAGTTGCCCCTCTTTTTTAGCTCACCTGGCCCGAAGGGCCAAGTGAGCTTTTCTCATCACTTGGCGTCCGTCGTCCGGCGTCCGGCGTCGTCCGTCGTCGGCGTTAACTTTTTACATTTTGAACTTCTTCTAGAGAACCACTGAATGGAATGAAACCAAACATGGCATGAATGTTCCTTATGAGGTGCTCACCAAGTGTTGTTACTTTGTAGCCGATCCATCATCCAAGATGGCCGCCAGCGGGGGACTTAGTTTAACATAGGACCCTATGGGAAATGCATACAATTGACTTCTTTTAGAGAACCACTGAATGGAATGAAACCAAACATGACATGAATGTTCCTTATGAGGTGCTAACCAAGTGTTGTTACTTTGTAGCCGATCCATCATCCAAGATGGCCGCCAGCGGGGGACTTATTTTAACATAGGACCCTATGGGAAATGCGTACAAATGACTTCTTTTAGAGAACCACTGAATGGAATAAAACCAAACATGGCATGAATGTTCCTTATGAGGTGCTGACCATGTGTTGTTACTTTGTAGCCGATCCATCATCCAAGATGGCCGCCATCGGGGAACTTAGTTTAACATAGGACCCTATGGGAAATACATACAAATGTCTTCTTTTAGAGAACCACTGAATGGAATGAAACCAAACATGACATGAATGTTCCTTATGAGGTGCTGACCAAGTGTTGTTACTTTGTAGCCGATCCATCATCCCAGATGGCCGCCAGCGGGGGACTTAGTTTAACATAGGACCCTATGGGAAATACATAAAAATGTCTTCTTTTAGAGAACCACTGAATGGAATGGAACCAAACATGGCATGAATGTTCCTTATGAGATGCTGATCAAGTGTTGTTACTTTGTAGCCGATCCATCATCCAAGATGGCCGCCAGCGGGGGAATTATTTTAACATAGGACCCTATGGGAAATGCGTACAAATGACTTCTTTTAGAGAACCACTGAATGGAATAAAACCAAACATGGCATGAATGTTCCTTATGAGGTGCTGACCATGTGTTGTTACTTTGTAGCCGATCCATCATCCAAGATGGCCGCCATCGGGGAACTTAGTTTAACATAGGACCCTATGGGAAATACATACAAATGTCTTCTTTTAGAGAACCACTGAATGGAATGAAACCAAACATGACATGAATGTTCCTTATGAGGTGCTGACCAAGTGTTGTTACTTTGTAGCCGATCCATCATCCCAGATGGCCGCCAGCGGGGGACTTAGTTTAACATAGGACCCTATGGGAAATACATAAAAATGTCTTCTTTTAGAGAACCACTGAATGGAATGGAACCAAACATGGCATGAATGTTCCTTATGAGATGCTGATCAAGTGTTGTTACTTTGCAGTCGGTCCATCATCCAAGATGGCCGCCAGCAGGGGACTTAGTTTAACATAGGACCCTATGGGAAATACATACAAATGTCTTCTTTTAGAGAACCACTGAATGGAATGAAACCAAACATGGCATGAATGTTCCTTATGAGGTGCTGACCAAGTGTTGTTACTTTGTAGCCTATCCATCATCCAAGATGGCCGCCAGCGGGGGACTTAGTTTAACATAGGACCCTATGGGAAATACATACAAATGTCTTCTTATAGAGAACCACTGAATGGAATGAAACCAAACATGGCATGAATGTTCCTTATGAGGTGCTCACCAAGTGTTGTTACTTTGTAGCCGATCCATCATCCAAGATGGCCGCCAACGGGGGACTTAGTTTAACATAGGACCCTATGGGAAATGCATACAATTGACTTCTTTTAGAGAACCACTGAATGGAATGAAACCAAACATGACATGAATGTTCCTTATGAGGTGCTAACCAAGTGTTGTTACTTTGTAGCCGATCCATCATCCAAGATGGCCGCCAGCGGGGGACTTATTTTAACATAGGACCCTATGGGAAATGCGTACAAATGACTTCTTTTAGAGAACCACTGAATGGAATAAAACCAAACATGGCATGAATGTTCCTTATGAGGTGCTGACCATGTGTTGTTACTTTGTAGCCGATCCATCATCCAAGATGGCCGCCATCGGGGAACTTAGTTTAACATAGGACCCTATGGGAAATACATACAAATGTCTTCTTTTAGAGAACCACTGAATGGAATGAAACCAAACATGACATGAATGTTCCTTATGAGGTGCTGACCAAGTGTTGTTACTTTGTAGCCGATCCATCATCCCAGATGGCCGCCAGCGGGGGACTTAGTTTAACATAGGACCCTATGGGAAATACATAAAAATGTCTTCTTTTAGAGAACCACTGAATGGAATGGAACCAAACATGGCATGAATGTTCCTTATGAGATGCTGATCAAGTGTTGTTACTTTGTAGCCGATCCATCATCCAAGATGGCCGCCAGCGGGGGAATTATTTTAACATAGGACCCTATGGGAAATGCGTACAAATGACTTCTTTTAGAGAACCACTGAATGGAATAAAACCAAACATGGCATGAATGTTCCTTATGAGGTGCTGACCATGTGTTGTTACTTTGTAGCCGATCCATCATCCAAGATGGCTGCCATCGGGGAACTTAGTTTAACATAGGACCCTATGGGAAATACATACAAATGTCTTCTTTTAGAGAACCACTGAATGGAATGAAACCAAACATGGCATGAATGTTCCTGATGAGGTGCTGACCAAGTGTTGTTACTTTGTAGCCGATCCATCATCCAAGATGGCCGCCATCGGGGAACTTAGTTTAACATAGGACCCTATGGGAAATACATAAAAATGTCTTCTTTTAGAGAACCACTGAATGGAATGGAACCAAACATTGGCATGAATGTTCCTTATGAGATGCTGATCAAGTGTTGTTACTTTGCAGTCGGTCCATCATCCAAGATGGCCGCCAACAGGGGACTTAGTTTAACATAGGACCCTATGGGAAATACATACAAATGTCTTCTTTTAGAGAACCACTGAATGGAATGAAACCAAACATGGCATGAATGTCCCTTATGAGGTTCTGACCAAGTGTTGTTACTTTGTAGCCGATCCATCATCCAAGATGGCCGCCAGCGGGGGACTTAGTTTAACATAGGACCCTATGGGAAATACATACAAATGTCTTCTTTTAGAGAACCACTGAATGGAATGAAACCAAACATGGCATGAATGTTCCTTATGAGGTGCTGACCAAGTGTTGTTACTTTGCAGTCGGTCCATCATCCAAGATGGCCGACAGCAGGGGACTTAGTTTAACAAAGGACCTATGGGAAATACATACAAATGTCTTCTTTTAGCGAACCACTGAATGGAATGAAACCAAACATGGCATGAATGTTCCTTTTGAGGTACTGACCAAGTGTTGTTACTTTGCAGTCGGTCTATCATCCAAGATGGCCGACAGCAGGGGACTTAGTTTAACAAAGGACCTATGGGAAATACATACAATTGTCTTCTTTTAGAGAACCACTGAATGGAATTGAACCAAACATGGCATGAATGTTCCTTATGAGTTGCTGACCAAGTGTTGTTACTTTGCAGTCGATCCATCATCCAAGATGGCCGCTAGGGGGGGGGGGCCTTAGTTTAACATAGGACCCTATGGGAAATACATACAAATGTCTTCTTTTAGAGTAGCACTGAATGGAATGAAACCAAACATGGCATGAATGTTCCTTATGAAGTGCTGACCAAGTGTTGCTACTTTGTTGCAGATTTACTGTTCAAGATGGCCACCAGGATATTTTATTAAATAACGGGACCAATATTAATCAAAATTTGGCCTCAATCATTATTTGGGTATCTGTTATGATTTTTATCTATCTTTACATGATTTCTAAAACCAAAGTAGAGTCAGGTGAGCGACACAGGCTCTTGAGAGCCTCTAGTTTACTCATACACTTACATAATACTTATCTGTCACATATAATACTTGTCTGTCACACTTTCCTAACCACCAAAAAAAAAAATTAGAATAATGCTTGTCTGTCACACTTTTCTAATCACCAAAAAAAATTAGGATGTAATTCATGTTTGTCTGATATATACGTTTACACTCAGTCAAAAATGGGAAAGTGAGTATATAGTCGAAAACAGCAATTGATTGTTCTTTTTTTTTTCGATACAGATTCTATTTGGCGAAACATAGTGGTAGACAGCTTACATTACAACCACAGTTAGGAAATGCAGATTTGAATGCTACTTTCTTTGGTGCCAAGAGAGACGATGATTCAAGTGGTGCTAGCAGCTCTAAGGGACCCAGAAAACACATTATACAAGTATCAACATATCAGATGTGTGTACTAATGCTCTTCAACAATAGGGATAAATGGACTTATGAAGTAAGTTCATTTATGGGGTAAAGATTGCATTGATGCAATCAAAACCCTGATAGTTATAAATTTCTCCTGACGTTATCACTTCTTTTGAGATAAAAAATAAAATAGTGCATTGAGCACAATATTCTATACATCATATCTTGGAACATTTCAAAATATTTATCAATGAACTATATACTCAGATATTTAATATGGTGTGTATCTGTATAACCATACTTGTCAAGAAATTACATAAATTATGCATAGTGCATGAATCTATAGCTAGTATCTGTTCTAACAATATCAATGTTATTGGCAAGTAATATTTAAAATTGGAGTTATCTTCCTTTGTCCATAACTGTTGAACTAACTGCAATGATACCTCTAGTTCATAGCATTGCCTTCCAATGCTTAATACAATGCAATGTTTAATCTTTAGTTCCAACTGCAAAGTGGTTAGTTCATTGAACCATGACCATATACTTCATTGCCCTTTGAAAAAAAATCAAACAATGCAGCAGGAACAGACAAAACATCTTTATATATCAACGCTTAAAGTTAAAGTTACTCCCTTTGTAAATTTAGCTATAAAGAAGAGAAGTGGATGACAGATGTTTGATTGAAGCATTTTACTCTAATTCTGTGGCTTAGTGCATCCAACACTCAAACTAAAAAATGTTAATATTTGAAATATTGACTCTTTTTCAGGAGATAAAAAATGAAACAGATATACCAGAGAAAGATTTAATAAGAGCTGTACAGTCTTTAGCTATTGGTAAAATTACTCAACGAGTTCTACAAAAGGAACCAAAAACAAAAGAAATAGGTAAGTTAAAACCATATCCTGAATACGCTTCCATACTTTATTTCTGGTTTCAATACTATATTAATAAACAATCCGCTTATTGTTTTTTGGGTGTTTTTATATCAAATAGGGTTTTTATACCCAGTGCAACTTAGTCCGTTGCATAGGGTATAATGTTTTTGACCAGTCCTGTTCTTGTCATCGCAACTTCCCTGAAACCACACAACAGAATTACATGAAACTTTGTAGATAAAAGGATGTACTATGTTGTTGCACATATTAACAGGAAATTATGATTCAATATTTTTTCTTGAAATTATGCCCCTTTTAACTTAGAATTTTGGCCTATACTGCTGCAACAGTTTGTCATCGCAACTCCTCTGAAACCACACAACAGAATTTCATGAAACTTTGTAGTTAATGAGGACACAATAATATGTAGATGTGCATATCCACAAGAAATTTTTATCAGTTGACTTTTTTAGGAGGTACGAGTCTTTGAACTTATAAATCTGGTGAGATTTTGTTTGCCCAGAGACAATGTGGGGGCGTGGGTAGCTCACAAAGGTTCTTTAATTTGTAATTTGATAAGATTGTTATAATATCAAAAATATCCCATTCTTCTCTTCCCAGTGCATTTGATAATGTTTTTTTTTTCATTTTCAGAACCTAGTCACGTATTAAGTGTAAATGATCAGTTCACATCCAAATTGTTCAGAGTCAAGATTCAGACGGGTAAGACATTGAAAATACAAAAAAAAAGTCATTTAGCACTGACCTCACTTTGAATAATGAAATTATTGAGTACTTTCATGCTTGTACTTTTTATACGAGATTTATGGTGAGTATACATGAAGCAATGTTCCAAGTGGAATTAATATACAGTTTATTGGTATTTATTATTGATCACAAAGAACAAAGTTGGAATTTAAAAGGACAAATATTTAAACGTTTTATGGAATAGGAATTGTTTACTCAGCTAGACGTATAATTAAGATACAGTTATTCAGAAAAGGTTTTTATACGCCCGTTTACGGGACGTATTATGGTATACCGTTGTCCGTCCTTCGGTCTGTCTGTCCGTCCGTCGTCAATATGTCGGACATTAACTCAAAAACGCTTAAACCAATTTGCATAAAACTTTGGTGAATTGTTTATATTTATTAACGTGAGCTCCCTTTCGTTTTATATAAATTTTAAATTTTACGTTTTGGAGTTATGGGGTTTTATTCATTAAAAAAAGGGGGATTTTCCAGTTTTCGGACAATAATTCAAGAATCCTTTCACCAACTTGCAAGAAATTGTGGTGAATTGTTTATATCTATTTAAATGAGCTCCCTTTCGATTTTTGTATATTTTAGATTTTACGTTTTCGAGTTACAGGGTTTTATTCATAAAAAAAGGGGGATTTTCCAGTTTTCGGACAAAAAATCAAAAATCCTTTCAGCAGTTCTTATGAAACTTTGGTGAATTGTTTATATCTATTGACGTGAGCTCCCTTTTCGTTTTTTATAAATTTTAGATTTTACGTTTCTGAGTTATGGGGTTTTATTCATTAAAAAAGGGGGGATTTTCCAGTTTTCGGACAATAACTTAAAAATACTGTCATGAATTCTCATGAATCTTTGGTGAATTGTTTATATCTATTGATGTAAGCTCCCTTTTGATTTTCATAAATTTCTAATATGACATTGAGAATTAATTGAACTTTAATTGTTTAAAGTCTTGACAACAGATTTACTAAGTATTGCACAACAGCACAGTGTATTGCACAACAGCAAGAAATCTTTAATTGAATATAAATTCAATTCATATAACCAATTTCAAGTTCTTTGACTACATTTATTCAGAAACCTATAATATGTCAAATATTTAATACAATCCAAATTCAGACCTGTATCAAGCTTGAATATTGTATCCTTTTTAGCCCCAACTGTTCGGGGTTGGACCTCTGCAGGCGTTTCCAGCTGCGCTCAGCGAAGCAGATTATTTGTTGTATTTCTTCACCTACAAAAATAAATTTCTACAGATACTTGTACGAAAATATTTAAAAAACTATTTCAATTTTTCAGTGGCGGCCAACAAAGGCGAAGCAGAACCTGAAAGAAAAGAAACGAGAACTAAAGTAGATGAAGACAGAAAACATGAATATCCTTTAGTATTATCATAAAATGCAGTATGCAAAAGGTTGTTGGGTGCTTAATATCAAGTGGCTAATATTGCAAGGAAGGGTCTTCCAACATCTCCCCACAAACAACATACTAAGTTTGAATAAGTTTACATACATGAAATGGATATACAGCCATAAAGCCCTACGCCCCATGTCCATTAACAAAGCTTCCCCTCTACCCTCCAAGATTCATTTTGATGAGAGAGCCCAAAGAGTTGGACCAATTTTTATACGACCGCAAAAATTTTTGCGGTCGTATATTGGTATGACGTTGGCGTCGTCGTCGTTGTCGTCGTCGTCCGAAGACACATTGGTTTTCGCACTCTAACTTTAGTTTAAGTGAATGGATCTCTATGAAATTTTACCATAAGGTTCAATACCACAAAAGGAAGGTTGGGATTGATTTTGGGGGTTATGGTACCAACAGTTAAGGAATAAGGGGCCAAAAATAAGCATTTTTGTAACTTCCAGACATAACTTGTGTGCTAGTGTATGGATCTCTCTGACATTGTACCACAAGGTTCCATATCACAAAGGGAATGCTGGGATTGATTTTGGGGGTAATTGCCTCAAAATATTAGGAATTAGGGGCCAAAAAAGGGGCAAAAAACAAGCATTTTTCTAGTTTCATGACAATAACTTGTGTGAAAGTGTATGGATCTTTCTGAAATTGTACTACAAGGTTCCATATCACAAAGGGAAAGCTGATATTGAGTTTTGGGGTAATTGCCCGAAACGTTTAGGAATAAGGGGCCAAAAAGGGGCCAAAAATAAGTATTTTTCTAGTTTCCAGACAATAACTTGTGTTCAAGTGTATGGATCTCTCTGAAATTGTACCAGAAGGTTCCATATCACTAAGGAAATGCTGGGATTTTTTTTTGGGGTAATTGCCTCAAAATTTTTGGAATTAGGGGCCAAAAAAGGGGCAAAAAACAAGCATTTTTGTCGAGCCTTCGACTTTAGTCGAAAAAGCGAGACATAGCGATCCTACATTCCGTCGGCGTCGGTGTCGTCGTCGTCGTCGTCGGCGGCGGCGTCCACAAATATTCACTCTGTGGTTAAAGTTTTTGAAATTTTAATAACTTTCTGAAACTACCTTGGATTTCTACCAAACTTGGACAGAAGCTTGTTTATGATCATAAGATAGTATCCAGAAGTAAATTTTGTAAAAATAAAATTCCATTTTTTCCGTATTTTACTTATAAATGGACTTAGTTTTTCTGCCGGGAAATATTACATTCACTCTGTGGTTAAAGTTTTTAAAATTTTAATAACTTTCTTAAACTATCCTGGGTTTCTACCAAACTTGGACAGAAGCTTGTTTATGATCATAAGATAGTATCCAGAAGGAAATTTTGTAAAATAATAAATCCATTTTTTCTGTATTTTACTTTTAAATGGACTTAGATTTTCTGCCAGGAAACAACACATTCACTCTGTGGTTAAAGTTTTTAAAATTTTAATAACTTTCTTATGCTATTTTGGATTTGTACCAAACTTGGACAGAAGCTTGTTTATGATCAAAAGCTAGTATCTAGAAGGAAATTTTGTAAAATAATAAATCCATTTTTTCCGTATTTTACTTTTAAATGGACTTAGATTTCCTGTCAGGAAACAACACATTCACTCTGTGGTTAAAGTTTTTTAAATTTTAATAACTTTCTTATACTATTTTGGATTTGCACCAAACTTTAACAGAAGCTTGTTTATGATCAAATGCTAGTATCTAGAAGGAAATTTTGTTTTCTTCAAGTTAACATTACATTCAGTCTGCAGATAAAGTTTTTAAACATTTATTAGATTCATAAACTATCTGGATTTTTACCAAACTTGGACAGAAACTTCTTACAATCAAAAGATAGTATCAAGAGGAATATTTTTATTGATTTACTTCCTCATTTTTGTTGAGCCTGCGATTAACAGAAAAAGTAGGCGAGACACTGGGTTCCGCGGAACCCTTACGAATTTTTCTAGTTTCATGACAATAACTTGTGTGTAAGTGTTTGGATATTTCTGAAATTGTACTACAAGGTTCCATATCACAAAGGGAAAGCTGGAATTTAGTTTGGGGGTAATTGCCCGAAACGTTTAGGAATTGGGGGCCAAAAAGGGGCCAAAAAACACATTTTTCTAGTTTCCAGACAATAACTTGTGTTCAAGTGTATGGATCTCTCTGAAATTGTACTGCAAGGTACCATACCACAAAGGGAAGGCTGGGATTGAGTTTGGGGGTGATGAATCATAAGGGGGTTCAAAAAATTGGGGGGGGGGATTTTTTTTTTTTTCATTTTTTTTCTTTTTTTCCTTTTTTTTTCTTTTAAAATTTTCCATTTTAAGTTGGTTATTTCTGATTTATATTTAAAAGCAAATAATAATGATATGGTAGGAGATACACACCAAACAGGATGTGTAAATTATTATATATTTCAATAGCACAGTATTGCACAATAGCAAGAAATTGTCAATTGTGCAGTATTGCGCAATAGCAAGAAATATTCAATTGCACAGTATTGTGCAAAAGAAGATACTTCGTATAAATTGCTTATTTCTTGACCAATTTCAATGGGGTTTTATTCTTGAGTTCTTGGGGTTCTTTAATATGCTGAATCTAACCGTGTATTAAGTTTTTGGATTTTGGGCCCCGTTTTTAAATTGGTCCACATTGAGGTTCAAAGGGTCCAAAATTAAACTTTGTTTGATTTCATCAAAAATTGAATTATTAGGGTTCTTTGATATGCCGAATCTAACCGTGTATTTAGATTCTTAATTTTAGGTTCCGTTTTCAAATTGGTCTACATTAAGGTCCAAAGGGTCCAAAATTAAACTAAGTTTGATTTTAACAAAAATTGTATTCTTAGGGTTCTTTGATATGCTGAATCTAAACATGTATTTAGATTTTTGATTATGGGCCCAGTTTTCAAGTTGGTCCAAATCGGTGATCAAAATTAAACTTTGTTTGATTTCAACAAAAATTGAATATATGGGGTTCTTTGATATGCTGAATCTAACCATGTATTTAGATTTTTGATTTTTGGGCCCCGTTGTCAACTTTGTCCACATTGAGGTCAAAAGGGTCCAAAATTAAACTTTGTTTGATTTCATCAAAAATTGAATTCTTGGGGTTCTTTGATATGCTGAATCTAACCATGTATTTAGATTTTGGATATTGGACCATAATAGGTGAATGTCCAATTTAAAATTTTCAAGTTCTTAGACCACATTCATTCTGTGTCAGAAACCTATGCTGTGTCAAATATTTAATCACAATCCAAATTCAGAGCTGTATCAAGCTTGAATGTTGTGTCCATACTTGCCCCAACTGTTCAGGGTTCGACCTCTGCAGTCGTATCAAGCTGCGCCCTGCGTAGCATTTTATTATGCATTTATTTTGAAGCCAGTTTTGATGATTAGGACATGAAAGCTATAACATCACAATCAAAGATAGAATACTTTATTTGATATTTGTTAACTTTGTCAACATTGCAGAATTGTTTAAACTCTGTCTTTTCCTAGTTTCGAGGAGAACTTCAAGAAACCTGAACATTTAATTATGATTTAAAAAAATAAATCAAAACATATGGAAGAAATTTGTTGACCGTTAATTAGGATACACTATGAATTGAATTTTATAATTGAAATTAGATATAATATATGATATGATTCCTTGACTGCTGTGTAAGATTGAAGCTGCAATAGTCAGAATTATGAAAGCAAGGAAGAAATTACAGCATAATGTCTTAGTAACAGAGGTAATTATAAATCACCTTTGTAATAGCTACTTGATAGTTTAATTTATGTGCTGCCTTGTACTTTAAATGAAATATTGATTTTTTGAGGTTTATTTTTCATTTTATCAAGAAATGTTTGATATACAACTATAGTAACAGCAAATTTAATAGCTATAGCATGGTTGAATTTATTTCTGCAAGTCACCACAATTTTATTTGTTTGGGTGGAACTTTTCTAGCCTCTTATCAACTTTAGTCAAGAAAGCTTATGTAAATGATAACTTAATAGTCAAAGTAATGTATTTTTACTTAAAAAAAAATTATAGAGTAAGATAATTACAGTTCCTTATTCAATTTTTTTCAATAACAAAATGGTAAAGATAAGGTTAACAAATTTAATGTTATACCTTCAGTCTATAAGTGGAGGCCATATTGCATTCACCTTATTTGTCCTTCTGTTCGTCCAACAAATATTTCCATAAGTATTACACTTTTATCCGAATGACTTCATATTTGGTCAGTAGCTTAGCAGTGATGAGTTTTGATGTGGGGGGACTTTTTAGATCTGTCAGAAACCTACCTGTTTGCAGATTCTTTGAATTTTTCAAAATATCGAATTAATTCGAAAAATTTTGTGACATTTTTCTCAAGTACTACTGAAAAGAATTACTTAAAATTTAGTCAAGGGATTGACAGGATTTGTTGTTACATGTGATATGTCAAACACCAACTTATTATTTGCAAATACTTTGAATTTTTCAATATGAACTTAAAATTTTCCACCACATATTTCTCAGAAACTGCAGAACTGAATTTCTTCATATTTGGTCAGCAGCTCAACAGTAACGAAGTGTAACATGTATGCTCTTTTCAAACCTTTTAGACAACTACTTCTGGTCTACGCATTAAATTACAAGTGGGGGTATGCTTAGCATAACATTGCATGCATCGTTGTTTTATCTGACTAACAAATTAATTTATACAGAAAGCATATTACATTGAAGAATAGTGCCTGTGTCTTATGATGTCTATTGAATTCACTTTTTAACATTTTTAAATTTATGCAACACCAAGTATGACTCATTTATCTGGCTAGAATAGTAATTCCAGTTGACAAAACAACAGAGTGTATTGAGACAATTCTATGAGTAAAGAGATCAAATATGAGGTGTTTTCAAACAATTTCAATTTTAATTTGTATATTAGGAAATTATCTGGAAAGAGGGAATGATGAACTATACAAAACTTCTTCAGATTATGAATAATTCATAAATACACTTAATTTTAGTGTACAGAACAGCTTAAAGCCAGATTCCTGCCTAGTCCAGTAGTTATTAAAAAAAGAATTGAAGGTTTGATAGAGCGTGAATATTTAGCAAGAACACCAGAAGATAGGTATGTAGTCATGAATTTAATGGATTATTTTATCTTATCATAGTAAAGGTATTTCAGCATATGCATCATTACAGTAAAAGCTTCAACATCATTACTGTTTTCTAGCTTCATCATCATCAGTCTGTAGAGACAATTTTTATGTGACTAGCCTTTACAGAATTAAACCGTTAGCATTTAATTGATAGGTTAATTCTTGCTTTGTTTTCAGGAGACAAAAACTTAGAGTCCTAGGTGAAATTAAAAAAAACTCTTCAGTTTCACATTTAGCATGCTAAAATGCCATAAAGCAGGACTTAGGTATTACTTAGGTATCTACATCAACATCAAAGACCATTATAAAATCCTTCAATAGACAGTGACAAGTTATCCATCATTTGAAATAGTTAAAACATTGTCAGTTTTTAAGCCATTTCAGTATAATCAGTAAAATAAGCAAAAGTCATTTTCCCTTTAAATTATTTGCTGTATTTGTGCACTTTTTGCAAAAGCAGTTTGTATTTTCAGATTCATAAGGACTATGAGTAATTTCATTGTTTGTACCCACAATAGGGAGAAATACCTTCTCTTTAGTGGTTGAATTTCCATTCTTTTGGACATTTTTATAAACAAATCACAGGTTTTGGTGCATGCTTTTGAAAATATTACCCAGAATCCATTAGATTATAAAACAGTTAATTTTTTTTTTACTTTGTCAAGAAAAAGCTATTAGAGTAATTTAATCAATCAATTTGAATATTTCATCATATAAGGGCTGTTCCATTTAAACATTCATGTTACTCGGGGAAGGCATTTTCAAAAGGGAGTATCCCCCTATAGAGGCAAATTTTGAATTTCAATTACATTTTCACTGTACTTTACAATGATTTATTTGTTTTTATTTTCCAGGAAAGTATATACTTATGTAGCATAAGAAGAATATTTATTTAAACAACAATTTCTGAAAGTCAGTGAGCATTTGTATACTATACTTATGTCTTCACATGGAATTATGCTTGCACCAAGAGGGGGAATAAAATCCATGAAGAATCGTCTACGAAACCTGCATATTAAAGAGTCTCAGATGAGAAAGCCTTTGTCAGCCTAAATATTGCAAAGACTTTTATGTAGTTTATACTAAATACTATTTATTTTAAGAAAGGATTGTCCAGATATGTATCTATGCAGTCTGTGCAAAGTTTTCAATTTTCTTTATGTGTTAATATTTTATCTGTTTGAATCAGAATAAATGGCTTTTTATGAATGAGGGAAATCACCGGTGGCACTCATCATTCATGTAGGTTATTGATTGTCATATTGACTATCATGTAGTGATCTTTTTCTAATCAGACAAAGGTTCCTCCTACTCTCAGGTGACAAATTTTATATTTCTATTTAAGATTTAAGAAAACATTTCTGTTGTTTTATTAACTTGCAATTTTTTTAATGATTTTTTGGTTCTATTAAAAGGACTCAAAAAGTTGTGAACAGATTCTACTTTCTTGACTACCTGCTATATATTTAAATGTTTTAGATTTAACATTTTTTGTTTTGTCTCTGAAAATTTGAATTACATTTGCAGCCATTGAATGGTTGATAAATATTTCTTGTGACAAAATGGTCAGAATTTTATCACAACATAACTTACAAATGTCATTTACTTTGCCTTTGTGTAAAATGAATGCAAAGAATATGTGTGAATAATCCGTAGGTTATTTGTTCGCTTGAACAATCATATAATATGTATAACTGTGTGAAGCTTTACTTGGAAGATGAATGTATGTATGTATGTTTGTATGGTAGTTCATTGGAATGCATGCAGGGAAACTAGTATGATGTTTGATTGCAATATGTTACACTGTTTATATTCAAATTCTTCTGATAATTTTAGGGGTATTAGATATTGACGTAACATAGACTTTGACAGGACTGCATCCCACCTTTGAAAGTTGTCATTTAAATGTCATGGAATGGTTTATTTTCATTAGACTTATCTTCATACTCTTCTATTAAATGACTTATGACATAATTTGCATTTGTGATTGCAATGATGACATACGCAAATGATCAAATATTCAGTTTTCTTCCAAGTCTGTTAAATTATAATGGTTAAAACTTTCTAAACTTTCTGTCAGTTAAAAACAAGGTGATTGCCTAGAATTTTGAATTTGCATTGTAATTTCTGAATACAGGAAAGGAATGATCAAATTTTTAAAACAATACAATATTTTGCCAGTAATTTGATTTTCTTCAGCTGTGGAATAAAGCATAACTATTTTGCAATTTTCTCCACATGATTTAGTTGAAGACTATAAATACACTTTCAATAAAAAGATAAAACCCTTAAAAAGCAATTTAATATGAAATAAAGATTTAAATCAAAGTCATTATACATGTATAGGAGATAAAAGGACAGTAATCTTTCTGATAATTTTTGTCAACTATGTATGAATTAACAGTTCTTTGGAATATTTCAGAATAGAATAATATAATGAAAATCACTGTTGATATATACCTTGTATAAAATAAAGCTTACACATTTACATACAAAATAAAATAACATTGAGTGAAAGGATAACAGTATATATATCATCTAAGAAAATCTGATGAAAAAAAATAATAATGTACAAATTTTAAATCATGTTATAAATGTACAAATTTCATGAATTTGAAACTAGTCATTTTACTGCTTAACAATATACAGAGTTATTTTGTCCCCTAATCCAAGAGATATATGTTTGACAAGCATTTTTTTTGTTTCTGTTTACTGCATCTGACCTTTTTATTTAGAACAACACAATTTGTCAAAGAAAAATTACAAATGGCATATTTTACTCCAGTGACCATAACTATAATGCCAAACCAGAACTATAAGAAACAAAAGTGCTGTATTAGTTGGAGTTCAAACTATATTTATAGTGTATTCAAAGTGGAAACATTTTTTTTAAGCAAATTGCCTATATGTAGCAACATTATCACAGAAAAAATACTAACTTAGTAGACAGTAATTGATAAACATTTACAAACATGGAATTACAAACATTATGGAACTAATGTTATGTCTCATAGGCTATTTCAAGACAAAATATATATTTTTACAAAATGTTAGCGAAATGTTGCTATTCTTTTTGTTCTGGTTTGAAAAAAAAAGTATGTTGAAGAAATAGTTGGGGCAAGAAAATGTATTGATATTTTTTTGGATTGTATTATTTTAAGTGAAACTGTTATGGCGTATTTGATCCATACTTCAATTAGTATGGTGTCAGCAATCATTATGATGTTGAAATTTTACATAATGGGGAAACAATTTCTCCACAAAAACTCATAAAATAAATGTGATAACTTAGTTTTGTGTTGCTGTTTATTGGGTCATATTATTACAAGATTATAGATTGAACTGTATTCATTAGAAATTCAGTTGTTATATTGCCTTTACAAGTATCAATCCCATAGTTGTTACTTTGATCTTACTCAAATTATTATTGACCCAGATAAAGGCTTAAGATTGTAAATTGTAAGCAATGGTTTACTGTTAAAAAATACCCAAAACAAGTGAAATGTGAAAACCAATAAATGCTAAGAAGCAAACTGTTAATATTCATTAGTTAGATTTTTCATCTGTCCTGGTTAATATGAAGTAAGGAGATGTGTTGATTGCCAATGAGACCACCAATAACCAAAGACCAGAGGACAAAGATATGAACAACTACAGGTCACTGTAAAATAGGTTTTGCAATAAAGTCAAAATCGTAAGTAACTACAAATCATAAAGGAATGATCTTTTGATGCATCATGTCAAATGAGGTAGGTTTGCATTAAAATTATGTGAGCTTGACCTTCTTTGAATGCATGAACGGCTTGGTTAAGTTTTCTATTGATGTCCTGAATAAGTAACTACTGTCATAATGGAATGATTTTTTGTCAGTTAATATATGTTTAGTGACAAAAGTCTACACTAAAATGTGGTCTTGTCTTTTTTATACGACCGCAAAAATTAAAAATTTTTTGGTCGTATATTGGTATGACGTTGGCGTCGTCGTCGTCCGGCGTCGTCGTCGTCGTCGTCGTCCGGCGTCGTCCGAAGACACATTGGTTTTCGCACTCTAACTTTAGTTTAAGTGAATGGATCTCCATGAAATTTTACCATAAGGTTCAATACCACAAAAGGAAGGTTGGGATTGATTTTGGGGGTTATGGTACCAACAGTTAAGGAATTAGGGGCCAAAAAGGGGCCAAAAATAAGCATTTTTGTAACTTCCAGACAATAACTTGTGTGTAAGTGTATGGATCTCTCTGACATTGTACCACAAGGTTCCATATCACAAAGGAAAGGCTGTAATTGATTTTGGGGGTAATTGCCTCAAAATTTTAGGAATTAGGGGCCAAAAAAGGGGCAAAAAACAAGCATTTTTCTAGTTTCATGACAATAACTTGTGTGTAAGTGTTTGGATATTTCTGAAATTGTACTACAAGGTTCCATATCACAAAGGGAAAGCTGGAATTGAGTTTGGGGGTAATTGCCCGAAACGTTTAGGAATTGGGGGCCAAAAAGGGGCCAAAAATAAGCATTTTTCTAGTTTCCAGACAATAACTTGTGTTCAAGTGTATGGATCTCTCTGAAATTGTACTGCAAGGTACCATACCACAAAGGGAAGGCTGGGATTGAGTATGGGGGTGATGAATCATAAGGGGGTTCAAAAAATTTGGGGGGGATTTTTTTTTTTTCTTTTTTTTTCTTTTTTTCCTTTTTTTTTTTCTTTTAAAATTTTCCATTTTAAGTTGGTTATTTCTGATTAATATTTAAAAGCAAATAATAATGATATGGTAGGAGATACACACCAAACAGGATGTGTAAATTATTATCTAATAAGTATTGTGCAATAGCAAGAAATTTTCAATTGCACAGTATTGCACAATAGCAAGAAATCTTCAATTGCACAGTATTGCGCAATAGCAAGAAATCTTCAATTGCACAGTATTGCGCAATAGCAAGAAATATCCAATAGCACAATATTGCGCAATAGCAAGAAATTGTCAATTGTACAGTATTGCACAATAGCAAGAAATATTCAATTGCACAGTATTGTGCAAAAGAAGATACTTCGTATAAATTGCTTATTTCTTGATCAATTTCAATGGGGTTTTATTCTTGAATTCTTGGGGTTCTTTAATATGCTGAATATTGAATTATTGGGGTTCTTTGATATGCTGAATCTAACCGTGTATTTAGATTCTTAATTTTTGGTTCCATTTTCAAATTGGTCTACATTAAGGTCCAAAGGGTCCAAAATTAACTTAGTTTGATTTTAACAAAAATTGAATTTTTAGGGTTCTTTGATATGCTGAATCTAAACATGTATTTAGATTTTTGATTATGGGCCCAGTTTTCAAGTTGGTCCAAATCGGGGTCCAAAATTAAACTTTGTTTGATTTCAACAAAAATTGAATATATGGGGTTCTTTGATATGCTGAATCTAACCATGTATTTAGATTTTTGATTTTTGGGCCCTGTTATCAACTTTGTCCACATTGAGGTCAAAAGGGTCCAAAATTTAACTTTGTTTGATTTCATCAAAAATTGAATTATTGGGGTTCTTTGATATGCTGAATCTAACCGTGTATTTTGATTCTTAATTTTTGGTTCCGTTTTCAAATTGGTCTACATTAAGGTCCAAAGGGTCCAAAATTAAACTTAGTTTGATTTTAACAAAAATTGAATTTTTAGGGTTCTTTGATATGCTGAATCTAAACATGTATTTAGATTTTTGATTATGGGCCCAGTTTTCAAGTTGGTCCAAATCGGGGTCCAAAATTAAACTTTGTTTGATTTCAACAAAAATTGAATATATGGGGTTCTTTGATATGCTGAATCTAACCATGTATTTAGATTTTTGATTTTTGGGCCCTGTTATCAACTTTGTCCACATTGAGGTCAAAAGGGTCCAAAATTTAACTTTGTTTGATTCCATCAAAAATTGAATTATTGGGGTTCTTTGATATGCTGAATCTAACCGTGTATTTTGATTCTTAATTTTTGGTTCCGTTTTCAAATTGGTCTACATTAAGGTCCAAAGGGTCCAAAATTAAACTTAGTTTGATTTTAACAAAAATTGAATTTTTAGGGTTCTTTGATATGCTGAATCTAAACATTTATTTAGATTTTTGATTATGGGCCCAGTTTTCAAGTTGGTCCAAATCGGGGTCCAAAATTAAACTTTGTTTGATTTCAACAAAAATTGAATATATGGGGTTCTTTGATATGCTGAATCTAACCATGTATTTAGATTTTTGATTTTTGGGCCCTGTTATCAACTTTGTCCACATTGAGGTCAAAAGGGTCCAAAATTTAACTTTGTTTGATTTCATCAAAAATTGAATTATTGGGGTTCTTTGATATGCCGAATCTAACCGTGTATTTAGATTCTTAATTTTTGGTTCCGTTTTCAAATTGGTCTACATTAAGGTCCAAAGGGTCCAAAATTAAACTTAGTTTGATTTTAACAAAAATTGAATTTTTAGGGTTCTTTGATATGCTGAATCTAAACATGTATTTAGATTTTTGATTATGGGCCCAGTTTTCAAGTTGGTCCAAATAGGGGTCCAAAATTAAACTTTGTTTGATTTCATCAAAAATTGAATTCTTGGGGTTCTTTGATATGCTGAATCTAACCATGTATTTAGATTTTGGATATTGGACCATAATAGGTGAATGTCCAATTTAAAATTTTTAAGTTCTTAGACCACATTCATTCTGTGTCAGAAACCTATGCTGTGTCAAATATTTAATCACAATCCAAATTCAGAGCTGTATCAAGCTTGAATGTTATGTCCATACTTGCCCCAACTGTTCAGGGTTCGACCTCTGCGGTCGTATCAAGCTGCGCCCTGCGGAGCATTTTATTATTTTACAAATAACATTTTTGTTGAGCCTGCGACTTTTGTCGCAGAAAGCTCGACATAGGGATAGTGATCCGGCGGCGGCATTAGCTAACTTCTTAAAAGCTTTATATTTTAGAAGGTGGAAGACCTGTATGCTTCATACTTTGTATATGGATGCCTCATGTTACGAAGTTTCCGTCAGTCACATGTACAATATCCTTGACCTTATTTTCATGGTTCAGTGACTACTTGAAAAAAAAGTTAAGATTTTTTGTAATGTTAAATTCTCTCTTATTATAAGTAATAGGATAACTATATTTGGTATGTGCGTACCTTGCAAGGTCCTCATGCCTGTCAGACAGTTTTCACTTGACCTCGACCTCATTTCATGGATCAGTGAACAAGGTTAAGTTTTGGTGGTCAAGTCCATATCTCAGATACTATAAGCAATAGGTCTAGTATATTCGGTGTATGGAAGGACTGTAGGGTGTACATGTCCAACTGGCAGGTGTCATTTGACCTTGACCTCATTTTCATGGTTCAGTGGTTAAAGTTAAGTTTTTGTGTTTTCGGTCTGTTTTTCTTATACTGTATGCAATAGGTCTACTATATTTGGTGTATGGAATGATTGTAAGGTGTACATGTCTAGCTGGCAGGTGTCATCTGACCTTGACCTCATTTTCATGGTTCAGTGGTTATAGTTAAGTTTTTGTGTTTTGGTCTGTTTTTCTTATACTTTATGCAATAGGTCTACTATATTTGGTGTATGGAATGATTGTAAGGTGTACATGTCCAACTGGCAGGTGTCATCTGACTTTGACCTCATTTTCATGGTTCAGTGGTCAAAGTTAAGTTTTTGAGTTTTGGTCTTTTTTCTTATACTCTATGCAATAAGTCAACTATATTTGGTGTATGGAAATATTCTACGATGTACATGTCAGTCTCGCAGGTTTTATTTGACCTTGGCCTCATTTTCACGGTTCATTGCTCAGTGTTAATTTTATGTGTTTCAGTCTGTTTTTCTTATACTATAAGCAATAGGTCAGCTATATTTGTTGTATGGAAGGATTGTAAGCTGTTCATGTCTGCCTGGCATGGTTCATCTGACCTTGACCTCATTTTCACGATTCATTGGTCAATGTTTAGTTTTCTTGGTTAAGTCTGTTTCTTAGAAACTATAAGCAATAGGTCAACTATATTTAGTGTATTGAATGATTGTAAGGTGTACATGTATTTCTCGTTTGGTTTATATGACCTTGACTTTATTTTCTTGGATCATGTTAAGTTTATGTAATAGTTGTAGTAAAGCTTTCATTTAGGACTATCAACATAATATCAATGGTTAGTAAAGAAGGCGAGACATTTCAGCGTGTGCACTCTTGTGTATTAAGGTCTAGATCTAAGCAACTACAGTTACTGCATGATGTTACGTTATGTAGGTTAACTGAAATTAGGTCATGCTTATGTTCATAAATGATTTAAAATAATAAAAAGAAATAAATAACACATTTCATGTAACAAGCATTATCATACTGGTAGTAGCAATTTATGCAACCAGATTAATATAGTGCATGAGTAGGACCTCCAACCATCATGATAAAACTCAAGGAAATAAGGCTTTGTTGTTTCAGAGTTTTAAAAAGTTGAAAATTGACCCATCAGAATCAACCATTTCCTTTGGTAGTCATATTTTCATCCAATTAAGGAGGGGAGGAAACTTGTTAAGGACATTCCAAATATTACCAAGTTTTTATCAGACTGGAACTAGTATTGGTCCCAGGTTCAGATTGCATACATATTTGCAGATGAGATGATGAAATCTATTCAGGCTTTCGTAAGTTTTCGATAGAACCTTTGTAGCATCAATGCCCCTAATAAGCACAAAATGAGAAAAATGTGTAGATGGGTACCCAATCATCATTCAAGATGACTTACCAATCAGAATAGGAATTCTGCATGGTAGCATTTGCTTAGCTGGACCAAGATGAGCAATTTTTATGTCCCTTTATAAAGGCTAAGGCTTACATAGAGGCTCCAAGGGGTGTGAATAGCTCATCAATAATCTCTTTTAAATTGCAATTTTATTAACTGGATTTTCAAGGTAAAAATCAGTTATTGATTTGGGGATGTACGGCAGGCGGGCGGCTGCCAAACAGTGTCCGTTCATTAACATGAAAACCCTTTGACAAAATTTTTTCCAATTTAGATATGTTGTTTCCTGTGACTAAGTGAAGGTCAAGTTCAATTTTCATGATTTTAGCTTTTCTCGTTGTTGAGTTATAGACCTTTCCCAAGAATTAAATTTTTGCTGAAATACTTATTAATTACTAGATTTCTGTTCAAGGGAAATAACTCATTTTTTAAAAGAGATTGTATTAATGATAAATGACATTTTGGATTTTTTTTTCTTTTCTTTGGTAAATTGTTTGAAGAATTTTGTGGTAGGTGTGTTTGTTATTCTGTATAAACTAATTTTCTGAATGCTATATATAATAAATTTTTTTGGAGGAAGTGAACTCTTTTAATTAGATAATAATCTTTTTAAAAAAGGATATATTTTATTTTTCTCATATGTTCTGTTTCAAGTTTTATGTTTAGCTGAATAATCTTTTATTGAAGACCAAATGTTGACCAGGTTCAGCACAAAATGAAAATCAGGTATGGGGAGAGATGTCAACAATTCACAGGATGTGTCACATTAGTTTGTATCCTTCTGTGGGCATATATTTGTCATTAGAAAGAATTTTTTTTTTACTAAATTGCTAAATCTATAGATATCAAGGATACTGTAAATTCAGAAATTATTGCGTGCATTTATTATTGCGAATTTGTCATTTTAGACTAAAATGCGATTTTAATTTTTGCAATATTGAGAAAAATCCTGTTTAATTAAAAAAAAAAATTTCAAAATGCTGGTTAAGATTATTGCGATTATAACCCTGTCACATTTTTCGCAATATTAAAAACATCGCGAAAATTTCTGAATTTTTACAGTAATAAAACATAACAGCACATTGCACAGTAAGCACAATTGTCATTTTGATGTTAAAGCACTAAAAATGTCTCTTAAGATGTCTTGTTCAGATATCTCTGTTGGTAATGTTGTCCTACAGAGTAGCTGCTATTTGATAGCTTAAATCTTTGGAGTCTGGTACTTGTGTTGATACCATCATCAGGGCATTTAGTATCTTCTGAATTGTGTGGTACCTGTCCAGCATTTATGCCAAATCATGATTTTGATTAAAATAAAGCATTCTTTGAATTTTATTGAAATTAATGTTCATGAATGTCAGCTTGGACAATTTGATGTCAGCTTGGCAAGTTCTGATTTCGTGAAGGGTTGTTGCAATTACTTTTTTAATCTTCTGATATTGAAATCATTAGGATAGCAATGTTAAAATTAAAAAAGGAAGCATAAATTTATAACTAAATCCTTTGATGGTATGTTCTGCAATACAAAAGATGCATGTTCTATAAATATATAATGATAAATTTATGTTGAATTTTAGTTGATCTTGAAATCTTTATTTGAATTTGGCATGATATCAAACATAGAAACAGCAATTTACCGAATATGAAAAACATATACAAAGCAAAGAATTCAAAGGATGATACACATATAATACATACAGCGATGAACCATCTAATATAAAACAGGTTTCTCTGAAAGTTTACAAGGAACTGCTGTCTCACACTGAATCCCAAATAGCAACCCATGTGTTCTTTATAAAACAGCACAAATCTAGCACACAAGCAGGATGAAATTTGAAAAAAAAAAGGCAAGACAGGAATTTTGAGTAGAACAAGCATTCCGAGAGTATTGCATGGCATTACATAAGTCCCCTACCGGTTAAAAATTAATTGTACTGGAACAATATAGTAACTTGATCTATAACTTGTCATGGTGTAAACTATATAACAAATATCAAGTCAATAACTTCAAGAATGATGACAAAAAGTGTGGAAAAATGATTATTTATGTGAATTTTCTAAGTCCAAGGACCATAACTCTGCACAAAATCATCAGACCGGAACAAAATTCGAACTTGGTCTGTAACTTGTCATGATAAAACTATATATCAATTATCAAATCAATATCTTTATGCATGATGAAAAAAAGTGTGGAAAACTGATTATTTGAGTGAATTTTCTAAGTCCAAGGACCATAACTCTGCACAAAACCATCAGACCGGAACAAAATTCGAACTTGATCTGTAACTCGTCATGATAAAACAATGTACCAATTATTAAATTAATATCTTCAAGCATGACGAAAAAAAATGTGGAAAACTGAATATTTGAGTGAATTTTCTAAGTCCAAGGACCATAACTTATCAGACCGGAACAAAATTCGAACTTAATATGTAACTTGTCATAACAATATCCCAAATATCAAATCAATATCTTCAAGCACGAAGAAAAAAAGTGTGCAAAACTTATTTGCCGGACTGATGGATGGACAGACAGACAGATAGACAGAGTGCAAACCTAAAGTCCCCTTTGACTTCATCGTTAGTGGACTAAAAAAGGGCAGGATGAGCAACTTGGCAAAAAAAAAAAAGCCAGGATGACAATTTATGTAAAAAAGTCAGGATAAACTAATAAAAAAAAGGCAGGACCTAATAGAGTGAAAAATAAAAAGGCAGGACAGAGGTTACAACTTAAAAAAAAAGCATAAAAATCAAATGGTAGCTCCCTTATAGATCACTGTAGGGTCTTCAACAATGAGCAAAACCCATACCGCATAGAAGCTATAAAAGGCCTGAAATGACAAATGTAAAACAATTCAAATGAGAAAACTAACAGCCTGATCTTTGTACAAAAAAATTAAACGAAAAACAAATATGATATACAAGCATTATCTGAACTGGACTATAATTGATAATAGGACATTATACATATTGTTAGTAGTAGGGGCCTCGGTGGCTGAGTGGTCTAAGTAGTCCAACTATTGTGTCACTAGCCAGTCAACACTGAGGTTGTGAGTTCGAATCCTGCACGAGCCAGGTGTACTCGACTCCAATCTTAATTGATTAGGATTGTCAGTTTTCCTACCGAAGGTAGGTGGTTCTCTCCAGGCACTCCGGTTTCCTCCACCAATAAAAACTGACCGCCACGAAATAGCACAATATTGTTGAAAGTGGCGTTAAACACCAAGCAATCAATCAATCAATCATATTGTTAGTAAACTATTCCAAGATTGACAATATAAATTATTGAAATTGAAATATACAGCTGTCATTTTGTAAAGTTTTGTTCTTTTGAGCCCTATTTCTTATGGTCTGATATCCACGGCGTCAGTGTATAATAGTCCTTATAAGCCCCTATTTATAATAAAAGTTTATCACTTCTGGTAAGTCGTGCTTCTTGTGAAAGCTTTTACTTTTTTAAGTCTGGCATCCTACATACAGGGAACCAGTGTAAAATTTATGTTAAAGTCGTGCGCTTGCGCATTGTAACCTGAATCCAACATGAAAAATGGCGACAACTTTCAGCACCGGAACACAGAGCCCAACATCACATAAAACCCTAGAGAAGATTTTCGAAGAAGCTCAGTCAACGGGGGCAGTGTGTTTATGTGGCAGAAAATTAAGAGAATACCCAAAGATCTCGTCTAGATATGATTTAATTGATACAATCTCTGCTGGTGAGTGCCCCTTCGACTTCCAGTCAACGAGTATAGACTATAGTGTTTACAAAATTATGTTGGTTGTCTGTTTAAAAAAGTTGTCAACCAGCGTTGTTTGCAAAAAAAAAAAATTTTTTCAAAGAAAATATTATCATCGCCCTCTCTCATGTCCATTAATATAAATGTAATCGTTATACACACTAAATCCAAATTTCCCTGACAGTCTGTACTTTCCAAAATTCCATGATCTGTATTAAGTGCAAATTTTATTTACTTATTTTCAGACATGTCATTTTCATTGCTCTAAATTTTGAGAGTTCAGAAATTCTGATTTACAGTAGTTTATTGGGTGTTCCAATAATACTGATAATGTTTTTTAATGAAAAAATGTTCTTTTACTTACTTTATATGTGTATATGTACCTATCCTATTCTTTCTTTCTGCCAGAAGCAGACACCTTACTGCATACATGTATACTTTTTACACCTGTCTATGTGTGTTCATGTTTGTCTAAAGAGTTTCTGAAACAATACTTTCTCAACTTCGAACCCTTAACATAGGAGACTCAAACAAGTGAGCTTATTTTCACTGAACTAGTACACATATTTGTTAAGGGGCCAGCTGAAGCCCGTCTCCAGGTGCAGGATTTTCTCAGTGTGTTGAAGACCCATTGGTGGCTGTTTTCTGCTTTGGTCAGGTTGTTGTCTCTTTGACACATTCCCCATTTCTATTCTCAATTTTATTATAAATTAAAATATGTCGACGTCTATTACATATAAAAATAAAAAGATGTATATATCTTTTATGTACTGCAATTGTACTCGATCACTGAAACATCTTGGAGATTCAAACCCATATTTCATATAACCCAGCAAAACCCTGGTTTTCCGAGTATTTCCCACTGGGATGGGTCAATATTCATAAAACACAGGTTTTTGACTACCTTGAAATACATGGTTTTGTTATCATTTTGTAATTAATTGGCCTCTTTTGAAAACTCAATTGTCAGCAAAACGTGCTTTCAAAAGGTACATTGTAGATAAATTTAGATTTCATAAAGTTTTGTCTCGCCTGCGACTTGTCTCGCAATATGCGAGACATATGGATTACTATCTGGCGGAGGCATAAACTATTTGTACATGTTGTATAAAGCTTCATATTTCAGAAAGTAGAAGACATGGATGCTTGTATGCAAATACCTTATGTTCATGGTGCAAAGTGTTCGTCTATGGTATGTCCATTGTCCTTGACCTCATTTTCATGGTTCAATGACTGCTTGAAAAATGATTATAGTTTCAATGTCATGTGAATTTCTCACTGATTATGATAACTATATTTGATATATTGGTTCCTTGCAGGGTGTACATGTCCATCAGACAGGATTCACCTGACCTTGACCTCATTTCATTGATCAGTGATCAAGGTTCAGAGTTTGTGAAAATTGTCGGTCCTGACCGCAAAAATGAGGCTTGGACCGTGAACAAATTTGATAGGCCACATGTGTTTTAGTCTATTTTTCAAATACTAATAGCAATATAGGTCTGCTGTATTTGGTGTATTGAATAATTGTAAGGTGTACATGTCTGTCTGGCAGGTATCATCTGACCATGACCTCATTGTCATGGTTCATTGGTCAATTTTAAGTTTTTGTGTTTTTGATGTTTTTCAATTACTGTGAGCAATAGGTCAACTATGTTTGGTGTATTGAATAATTGTAAGGTTACATGTCTGTCTAACAGGATTCATATGACCTTGACCTTTTATGAATCCTGTTAAACAGACATGTAACCTTACCTTTTTGTCATTGTTCTTTAAAAGTTTGTAGCTTAAGAATCAATGGTCAGTAAAGCAGGCGAAACATTTCAGCGTGTGCTATATTTAAAAGTCATCAAAACCCACCCACATGTTTGCGTAAGACAATCACATGATCGATTGCATCATATATTTACTTTCTCTCAGATTTTACTGTTCTTGTAAGCAATTCATTAAAACTGAAATCCTTTTCATACAACTGCAAAAAAATGTTGCTGTCATATATTGATATGACGTTGGCATCGTCGTCTGAAGACACATTGGTTTTCGCACTCTAACTTTAGTTTAAGTGAATGGATCTCTATGAAATTTTACCATAAGGTTCAATACCACAAAAGGAAGATTGGGATTGATTTTGGGGGTTATGGTACCAACAGTTAAGGAATTAGGGGCCAAAAATAAGCATTTTTGTAACTTCCAGACATAACTTGTGTGTTAGTGTATGGATCTCTCTGATATTGTACCACAAGGTTCCATATAACAAAGGGAAAGCTGGGATTGATTTTGGGGGTACAATGTAATTGCCTCAAAATTTTAGGAATTAGGGGGCAAAAAACAAGCCTTTTTCTAGTTTCATGACAATAACTTGTGTTCAAGTGTATGGATCTGTCTGAAATCGTACTGCAAGGTACCATACCACAAAGGGAAGGCTGGGATTGATTTTGGGGATAATTGCCTCAAAATTTTAGGAATTAGGGGCAAAAAACAAGCATTTTTCTAGTTTCAGGACAATAACTTGTGTGTAAGTGTATGGATCTTTATGAAATTGTACTACAAGGTTCCATGTCACAAAGGGAAAGCTGGGTTTGAGTTTGGGGGTAATTGCCCTAAACGTTTAGGAATTTGGGACCAAAAAGGGGCCAAAAAACAAGCATTTTTCTAGTTTCCAGACAATAACTTGTGTTCAAGTGTATGGATCTCTCTGAAATTGTACTGCAAGGTACAATACCACAAAGGGAAGGCTGGGATTGAGTTTGGGGGTGATGAATCATAAGGGGGCTCAAAAAATTGGGGGGGGGGGGGATTTTTTTTTCCCTTTTTTTCCTTTTTTTTTTCTTAAAATTTTCCATTTTAAATTGGTTATTTCTGATTTATATATAAAAGCAAATAATAATATGGTTTGAATAGGTTTGAGTTCAATAATAGTACTTAGAAAGGCATGGATGTTTTATACCTTGTATGCAGATGCCTTATTTTTTCGAAGTTTCTGTCTGGCATATGTCCATTGTCTTTGACTTTATTTTCATGGTTCAGCGACAGCTTGAAAAAAATGTATAGTTGTTTTGTCATGTGAAATACTCACTTATTATGAGTAATAGGTTAACTATATTTGGTATATGGGATCCATGCAAGGTATACATGTCTGTCAGACAGGTTCACCTAACCTCGACCTTATTTCATGCATCAGTGATCAAAGGATTCAGTTTTAGTAGTCAAGATCGTATCTCAGATACTACAAGGACTATACATTGTAGGTTAACTAAATTTGGTTTATGGAATTATTGTACACCTCTGTCTGGCAGGGGTCATCTGACCTTGACCTAATTTTCATGGTTCATTGGTCAATATTAAGTTTTCATGTTATTTTTCAGATACTATAAGCAATGGAGCAACTATAATGTGTTATATTTATATATAAGCAATAGTTCAACTATAATTGGTGTATGGAATGATTTCATGGTGTACATGTTGGCTGGTAGTGTTCATCTGAACTTGACCTCATTTTCAGTGTTCATTGGTTTTATATAAATTTTTCATGATCAGATACTTTAAGATATAGGCTACCTATATTTGGTGTATGATATGATTATAAACTGTTTATGTCTCCCTGGCAGGGTTCAGATGACCTTGAACTCATTTACATGGATCATTGTCATTGATAATGTAAGTTTATGTGATATTTGTATTAAAACCTTCATATTACTGACTTTCAACATAAATTCAATCATAAATTAAAGCCAGTGAGAAATATCAGCATGCTTAACAATTTTTATGCCCCAGTCATAGTGGGGGGATTAAGTTTTACCCTTGTCCGTCTGTACGTCCGTCCGTATGTACAATGTATGTCCCAAAATTGGTTTCCGTTCTCTAACTTTAGTTTGCCTCAACCAAATGTTATGAAACTTATGCACAATGCTTATTACCACAAAACACCGATAAAGTTCAAATTTTGGTGGCGTCACTTTTATCGTTCTAGATTTATGCCCCTTTACAAATGGAAAAATAGCTGAAGTTTTCTTTTCCGTTCTCTTAACATAAGTTTACCTCAACTAAATGTTATGAAACTTACAAACAATGCTTATTACCACAAAACTCAGATCAAGTACAAATTTGGGTAGCGTCACTTTTACAGTTCTTGAGTTATGTCCCTTTGTAATGTTATATGCAAGCGGGGGCATCATCTGTGTCCCATGGACACATTCCCCATTTATCATATCTTTTGAGTCATTATATGACAGAAAAATTTTTGACAACGTATAATGTTATGACGTCAACGGCGTTGTCGCCCGAAGACATTTGGTTTGCACACAATTACTTGCGTATAAGTGTATGGATCTCTATGAAAAAGTAGCATAGGTTCCATACCACAAAAGGAAGGTTGGGATTGATTTTGGGGTTATTGTCCTAGCTGTTTGGGCCAACAAACAAGCATTTTTGATTCAGTCATGCTTGATCTTTGTGATCACTCCAGATTTACATATCATGAAACTAATTATTTGTTTTTATACGACCGCAAAAATTTAAAATTTTTTGGTCGTATATTGGTATGACGTTGGCGTCGTCGTCGTCGTCGTCGTCTGGCGTCGTCCGGCGTCGTCCGAAGACACATTGGTTTTCGCACTCTAACTTTAGTTTAAGTGAATGGATCTCTGTGAAATTTTACCATAAGGTTCAATACCACAAAAGGAAGGTTGGGATTGATTTTGGGGGTTATGGTACCAACAGTTAAGGATTAAGGGGCCAAAAAGGGGCCAAAAATAAGCATTTTTGTAACTTCCAGACATAACTTGTGTGTTAGTGTATGGATCTCTCTGACATTATGCCACAAGGTTCCATATCACAAAGGGAATGCTGGGATTGATTTTGGGGGTAATTGCTTCAAAATTTAAGGAATAAGGGGCCAAAAAAGGGGCAAAAAACAAGCATTTTTCTAGTTTCATGATAATTACTTGTGTGTAAGTGTATGGATCTTTCTGAAATTGAAC